TTAGCTAGAGGTTATATTGCATCCACATTGAAGAAATTTACCATTATCGCGGTATTTTTTAGATGACTATGATGACGCTGTTGTTCAAAATGGCCTTAGTTGTGGCACAGAGGGGTCATTGTTGGGGTTGTGATAGCAGTCGGGGTGAAGCATCCAAAAGCTAGATGGCCAAATGCTTAATTGCTTGCCATCGCGTCGCGCCAGTCTCCTACCTAGTACTTACGTATCCCTGTCACTGAACTAGCGTGTGGCGCTCTCTGGCGACCAAGCGTGATTGGCTGTCTGACTGGCATGTGGCTCGACTCTGGGTTTTGCCAAACCACGTGCAATTGTGGCGCGGTTCAGGGCCAGTGGCTTGAATTGGATGGGGATGTGGCTTGAATGCTCCAGTGTGGGCAGATTGGCGGCTCAGAGCTTCAAGCGACCGGCCACACTGCATATCCTGCATCATCCCGCTCTCGTCCCTTTCCCCCTGCTCAAACGCCTTGCAGTTGCTTGAGCTCCGCGCATTCCAACGGCGACGATCGACTGCACTCAAATACGATTTCTGTGTCGACAATAATTGGCAGACGCGCAGCCGGCGGTCCATCAGCCACCTTGACGTCTCCCGCCGATACGCCAGCGGCAGTGCCTGAAATCGGGCTCTCAGGAGCTTCCCGCAGCCATGGTCGCCCCAGCTGTGCCAGAGTATGGGATGGAATATAACTCATTGACGATGGCGGATTCTAATATGACTTTAGGGTTACTGAGGAGGTCCTCCACGAGTCGATTGATGCCAGAACCGAATCCCTTCTTGCCTTGCGAGAGCTTGGGCCGCCTGACCTGGTACATCTCCTGAAGCAAGGTGTGCGCAATACAGGAAAGCAGGTATGCAGCTCATGAGATTTCGTATGGTTAATATCTAACATGTCTAGACTGGTATTTACCATCATGTCACCGGTGTCGATGCGTCCTCGTCCGCCAGTCTTGCAGCCTACATCAACACGCTCACGTACAAGGACAACGGCCCCAATGCCACTTCAAAGATTGTAGAGGGCGTATACTGGTGCGTTGAGGTTATTATGAGTTGTGTGATGGCGTAGTAACTTACCTGTGTGTATTATTGTAGCTGCTACAATGCGTTTTCCCGATTGGACATGCGCGTGCACGTGTCCATTCCCGGTACCGTCGAGAGCTATTGCGTCGACGAGCGAGGAGAGAAGCGAAAGGCGTCAGACGAGCTGTGGCTGGAGACATATCTCTGCAGCGTCTTGCGAGCATACTCCTACGCGGATGACGGCAGTGGTGACACGATTCGAAAGATTATGGGCGTAAGGAGATTCAACCCCGTGACCAACACCGAGACAGAGCAACGCTTTCTCAATGCGGCAGAACAACTTTTCTTCAGAGGCTGGCAGCTGGGATCTGATTCCGTGGTCCAAGTTCCCACAAATGTTTCTAACCACCTCACCACGGGACTTCTCAAATACCTTGAAACGACCGGCCGATACGCATCGGGCATCAACCTGTTCGAAAAGCTTCGCACGCAGAGCATCGAGGTGTCATCACTGTTGTCAAAAGTCATGTTCATGGGTCACGAGGAGGTTTCCGGCGTCAAGAACTTGTATCAGTCCTTACAGGAGACACCCATGGATTACGTCATGCTCGACACACAAGCGGAATTTTTGCTCAAGAAGGCACAGACAGCCGAAACGCCGGAAGCAAGAGAAGAGAGATTAAAGATGGCGCTTGGCTGTGCAGATCGCAGTACCGTTGCCGCTCCAAGCGAATTTGGCACATGGGCACGGCTGGCACAGGTCTATGTTGCTATGGAGGACTGGGAGAACGCGCTTACCACGTTAAACTCATGCCCAATGTTTACTTATCAGGACAAGGATACCCCTATCATGCCCGAGCCGAGAGATGTCCATCTGCCAACGCTCCCCGAGACACGACTCGATGAGATCGACAGCGAACCGGAATCCAGATTTTCAGAACAAGTCGACGCCAGTTTGCTGGGGCTTCGCGCTGCGAGTTACCGTGGCACTTTCAAGCAGGCATATAACATTCTAACAGAAATGACGGCCAAGATTGGCTGGGATCAGTTGCTCAAGATTCGCAGCAATGTGTTTGTCATGGAGGATGAGTACCGAACGGAGAAACAAGAAGCATCACACTCTGGCCCCTCGAAACGAAACGCCAGCATAGATGGCCTCCGAGGCACTCCCGATCCTATAACGAATGGTGAAGGTGAAACGGGGGAAGAAGATGACGAAAAGTCGAGTGAGAGGGAACCTGCCAAAGAGATGGCGACCAACGGCGAGACCAACAGCGTCGAGAAGCCGCCTCACGCCATTGATCCAAAAGAGGTAAAGGGTGATTCCGACCACGTAAGTTGTACTATTATGCCATGCGCTCCCCAACATGACCAACTTTTGGTAACATCTCGGCGTAGAGCACTCCGGATGAAGAGCACCTATCAAAGCTTAATACCAAGCGTCTTTGTGAAAGATGGCTGGACAGCCTATTCATGGTTCTGTATGAAGACCTGCGTGTGTACACCATCTGGCGGACACAAATGGCCCAATACCGGGCGCAGCAAATGCAGTATAAGAAGTCGGCAGAAGAGTGGGAAATCCTCGGGGCCCTTGCCGAACGTCTGCAACATTTTGACGAAGCTGTCGAGGCCTATCGAGCGTGTCTCTCGCTGCGATTCAGCCCCAAGTCCCTTGCTGGTGTGCTGAGGGTTTTTCAAAAGACCAAAAACACGAGGGATACTGTAGCAGCAGTCATCAGGCTGGTAACGTGGCAGTACCGATGGTACAGCGAGTTTAGCCCTGAACTGCTGCACACTATTCGGACTCTGATTGAAGATGAGGGAGCGGTCAAGGTCAGAAGCATCATTCAGGCGACCAGTCTGCCCCAGACCGTGCTAGACTTGACGCACCACTACGCGGCATTATGTGCTACGTTTCGCAGCAGCGGAACTGATGGTTAGACACGCCAACGGGCGGACGATGGAAAGGGGAACAGCAATCAAAGGATGAAAAGATGGGGGTAATGTAATGTTTTTTTTTCTTTTGCAGGCACCTGTAGCTCCAGGGTCACTCTAGCTTGTTGTGCATAGAGGCGTCGATTGGAGGTGGTGGACGGATTCAATACAAGCTTCCATGACTCTTCTGTACATGGATACGTATCGTTATATGTGTTTATAATTCAGATGTGAGGACTGTAGATATGAGCCGTATTGCGTCAATGGAGACAGAAATTAAGGTATAAACTTTGCAGACATGGAGCCTGCATCTCTCACTTGGGTGTAGTTTTGGCGGTCGGTTTTAGTGGCGGGGTTTGTTTGGTGCTCGGCGGGTGCGGGGCAGGCCGACAGCTCCAACGACGTCAAAATAAATTTCCAAGTTGGAGCATCGAGCATCGAGCATCAGCCTCAAACCATTCAACGTCTTCCAGACCTCCATCAGTAGTATTCGTTAGAACCGTCCCACTTGGAACCAGCGAATCTGCCCTCCGGCCGCAATCATATCAGAGCCAGCTCCGCCATGGCATCCTCAGACGATGCATCGCCGCCCGTCGCCATCGTGTGCGTCGGCATGGCAGGTACATTATCAAAGCCTCGCGCTGCCCTGCCCTGCCCACAGGGGTAGTTGATCGAGTAGCTCGCCCTAACATCATGTCGCAGGCTCTGGCAAAACGACTTTTATGCAGCGCATCAATGCGCACCTTCACGGCAAGAACCAGCCTCCCTATGTCATCAACCTCGACCCGGCCGTGCTGAATGTCCCCTTCGACCCAAACATTGACATCCGCGACTCGGTCAACTACGAAGAAGTCATGAAGCAGTACAACCTTGGTCCCAACGGAGGCATTCTCACATCTCTCAACTTGTTCGCCACCAAAGTCGACCAGATTGTAAACCTATTAGAGAAGAGGGCGAAGCCTGATGCCGAAAATCCCGACCGCAAGCCCATCGATAGAATCATTGTCGACACCCCCGGACAAATCGAAGCCTTTGTGTGGTCTGCATCGGGAACCATTCTGCTAGAGTCTCTAGCGTCCTCGTTTCCAACCGTCATCGCCTACGTCATCGACACGCCGAGAACAGCGTCGACATCTACATTCATGTCCAACATGCTATACGCCTGTTCGATCCTGTACAAGACGAAACTCCCCATGATTCTGGTCTTCAACAAGACAGACGTCAAGGACGCGTCCTTTGCAAAGGAGTGGATGACGGACTTCGAGGCGTTCCAGGAAGCGCTCCGCCAGGACGAAGAGTCGGATGCGCTGGGCGGCGTGGAGGGCGGCGGGCACGGAGGCAGCGGGTACATGGGCAGCCTGCTCAACTCGATGAGCTTGATGCTGGAAGAGTTTTACTCGCACCTGAGCATGGTGGGCGTGAGCTCCAGAGTGGGCACCGGCGTGGACGAGTTTTTCGAGGCCGTGGAGGAGAAGAAGCAAGAGTTTCTGCGCGACTACCTGCCGGAGCTGGAGAGGCGGCGCCACGAGCGGGAGAAGCAGAAGAAGAAGTCGCGCGACAAGGAGCTGGACAAGATGATGTCCGACATGTCTGTTGCGCCCGGCCAAGCGGCCGCTGGGCAGCAGAGCGGGAGCGGCGCGGGAAACGACTCGGATGTCGAGGTGGCGAGCGACGATGACGACGAGGACTCGGACGAAGACGCGGCCAAACAGGGCCTGCAGGAGCGCTATCAGGCCGCGATGGGTGATGGCGAGAATTCAATCTTGGCGGATGCCAGTTTTGCAAAGTATCTCCATAAGCAACGGTAGTTTTGGGCTCGCCCGAGGCTACGCATGGTTTACAACAAAAACATGGGTCACGGAGTTTGGGTATGGCTAGGATTTGTCTCAAGAGATTTGATACCACTGTCTTGTCTTGTCTTTTTTTTTTTTGTCTCGTGCACTCGTGGTGCCCATGTTCCCCATAACTCCAAACACCATAAATCACGACTCCCATCCTCCTCTCATCGGCCGTGGCCGGGGTCGGCCCCTTATCGCGCTTCAAACTGCACCATTCTGTGAATTTTGTCAGCACGTGTATCCAAAAATACGCAAGCAAGAAATAGGGAGGGCAGGACAAACCTCTTGGTCCTCTCCTTGTAGAGCACTCTCCCCGCGCAGTGAGGGCAGGCAACCAGCGCATCCTTGCCCAGAGAGACGCTCGACCCGCAGTCGCCGCAGAGATAGGTCATGACGGAGCGGGAGGCGTGGTCGTCGCGAGTGTTGCCGCGGACAGCGGTGCCGCCGGCGGAAGGGACTTGGTATTCTTCGCGAGGCATGTCGGCGGTGCGGGGTGTATTGGACTGTTGGATCGGTTTGTGATGTCTGCGTCGACTTGGTGGATTTTTGCTCTGCGGGTGCAAGGCAGTGCGGGCTGTGTTGGACTGTTGGATCGGTTTGTGATGTCTGCCTCGACTTGGTGGATTTTTGCTTTGGTGCACGGCAGGTTGAGAGTTGAGAGTCGAGAAAGAAATAGCGGGGCCGATATTTGTCAGGCAGAATTAGGCGGTGAGTGGCGCATCATCCTCGCCTACCCTATTTAAGGAACTTGTTACTTGAAACTTGAATATTGACGAGGTTGTGCCATGTCCCTGGCTTTGGTAGTATTCGGCATCATGATTCGACGCAATAGGATATTGACAGTCATTGGGCATATGACGACGCGTAAGCTTATTGCGTTGCAAAGATGCACGGTAGCTCATCTCAACGTCTTAAGACCAGATGAGAATTTCCCGAAATAAGCAAGACCCAGAAATACGTGATGGTTATCAACACAATCTAGCCATGATGGCATAAACAGCTACACAGCTCTTCTCGTCCGACACACGCTAGAAAAGTCATTCACGTCCAGCCCCGTGATTTTCGCCTCCATGGCATGAATAAGCGGCTCGAGCAGCCTCCGCAAACAACACTCGTGCTTAAACACGGTCGCCGTCGCCGAACCATCGTAGCCCTCGTCCTGTTCCCTCCCGCGGGGCGCCGAAACAACCCTGCGATGCTTTTTATACAGATGTCGCCCGTGGCTCGATCCATACCCCTCACTGGGACGCACACGTTCCGGCGCCCTTACCGAATCCGCCTCGTACCCCTCGCACCAGTCAACTCTGCCATCGTCAACCTCGGCCTGCGGCGAGTAGACAGCCGGCGACTGGAAGCCACGCATGCGGTGGAGCGCCGTGCTGAGGGAGATGCTCGGCAGCGGCGCACCCGGACCCGGACCCGGACCCGGCGAGTGCAGCCCCGCGCGGCGCATCTCTTGCATCAGCGCGCCGAGCAGCATCGACCGGCAGTCGAATGTACATGGGCCGCCGCCCTGGCTCAGCCGCTGCACGAGCTGCCCTGCTTCGGCTACCAGCTCGCCCAGGAGGTCTCTCCTGCGTAACTCGATGGCATCTAGTACGTGTCAGCATGAACATACCATTCGACGTGAGGAGGAGCCGCCAGACCGATGATTGCGGGATGGACAGGCGTGGCCCCCGGGGCGAGCGACCCCGTGCACTGCATAATGGCCACGCGCGTCGTGGAGCGGAAGCAGTCGGGCTGGCTGAAGACGGACGCGACGAGGATCCATTTGTACAGGTCCGGGCATATCTCGGTCGGGTGGGCGCGCTGCAGCCTCTCCAGCCATGCGTCGGCGACGAAGTGCACGGCGTCGTGGCACTCGAGGTCGTCGGTGATGGCGGCCGCCTCGGCGAGCGCGTCGAGGCTCACGGCGCGCGGCACCTTGTTCGTCTGCCCGTGGATGATGCGCATGACCGTCTCGAAGGCCGCCGGGTCGAAGAGGGGCGCAAACTCCCAGTGGAGGAAGCCGTCGGCGTCGGGCGTCGATTCCTTGCAGTCCATTTGGTACATTGTCCTGGCGCGCGTTGATGCCATGGCGAGGTGCTTTTTGGACACCCTCAGTCGCAGCGTCGACTGCTTGCCGTCTTGCTCGGAGGCTGTATTCCGGTGGGCGGGTGAGCCGGCCGTCTGGATGAGTTGTGTAGGTGCGGATGGGACGTACCTTGGTGGATTGGATGAACTGGCGGAGAGTAGGTGTCGAGAGTGCTTGCGTCTTCGGTCGCGACGTCGTCTTCGGTCGCGATGGTGGACGTGCCTTTTCCCGCGGCATCTTGATGGGTTAGGCTGAGCCGGGAGGGCGCTGCTGGGCTCGGGATGACGATGAAGACTTCGCCGTCGGGATCGACGTTGACGACGGGAGAAGACGCGGTCATGGCGGGCTCGTGGCTGATTGCTGGCCGACAGTCGAGAGTCTGGTCGAGTACAAGGCGTTGTCGCCGGCAATCTGCAAACAGTGATGGAACCCCGCGTTGGGCTGATATTGCTTCAATGGTCCTACGCATTATGCATGGTCACGCGCTGCGGTTTGCTGCATTCCTTCAACATTGGCTGTTGTGTCCATGCTTGTGTAATGCCGGCACTTGTGGCACTTGTGTTGCGCAATATGCAAGTGGCTGGACGGGGTTTGATGCAAGCGAAGACGGACGGTACCAAAGTTGAACCTCGCAGCACAAGTATATAACAAGACAGATGTACGTCAAGAATACATTCACTCGCCAAGCCCAGCAGCAGCTTTGTATCCACGCCAGTCGAATCTGAGGTTGCTCACGGCCAAGGCAACCTGGGAGCATGCTATGAAGGGAAGCGGCAGAGATGCCAGTATAATGAAAGCTAGAATCAGATGTTATAGAAGACTCGAAACAAAGGCATAGACAAATAAATTCATTCCAAACGATAGCTAGCTATCCATTCGCAACATCATGAAGAGAAGACTGCGTGAGTGACACAAGACAGCGAGCCATGAAAGAAGTCAACGTGGGAGACGGCCACACCACGAGTACACATGTAGGCACGTACATCCGTGCCAGGACAGGACGATTCACTACTTGTTACAATGGCAGTGGCTGCTGTCTCCCGGACCACAGCTCCCCGGCGTCTTGTCCCAGCGACAGTTATTCCTCCGATCACGCACATCGCACGGCACCTCGACCAGCGTCAAGGGCAGACACGACTGCGCATCGAGCGTGTTAAACGTCAGCGCCGGCTCGAGGCTCGGACACGTCGGCCCAACGCCCTGGTTGCCCGCGCCCCCGAGGCAGTACTTGCCGCACGTCCACTTGGTGATGGTGAAGCGCCCGGCCGCGCTGTAGTCGGGCGTCTTGCCGATGTGCCCCCCGTTGGGCTTGGCGTCGAGGAAGTTATTGGGCTCGGCGCCCGTGTTGGAGGCCCCGTGGATGTCGAGGATGGCGAAGCCCTCGCCCGGGTTCACGCCGCAGCCCCTGGTGCAGTTCTGGTCCTTGCAGAACCGGAACTTGCCCATGTGGTGCGTCGCGCTGTCCTGCCCGGCCGTGTAGGCCTTGACCCCGGGCCGGCTGTCGTAGCCGAGGTACTGCCCGTTTTCCATCTTGAAGAGGTAGCATTTTCCTGGGGGGGTGTTAGTCAAGGGGACTGATTTGATGGACATGGATGGCTGGATACTGCTGATGGAGACGGGTTTGGCTGTGGCATACCTGTGTCGACTCCTGAGCTGCAGGTTTCTGGGCTCTGACACCAGCCTTGGGTTCCGTTGTGAGGGTTTTTGCCATTTCCATTTCCTTCATCTCCGTCACCTCCTCCTCCTCCTCCGCCGCCGCCGTTATGACCTCCTCCTCCTCCACCACCTCCGCCGTTGTTACCTCCTCCTCCGCCACCACCACCGTTATGACCACCACCGCCTCCTCCACCGCCGCCGTTATTACCTCCACCTCCTCCGCCTCCTCCTCCTCCGCCACCGCTGCCGCTCTTGTCACCGGCTCCTCCTCCTCCTCCTCCGCCTCCTCCACCGCCGCCGTCTCCGCCTCTAGTTAGTATCGCCTGTGGTTGGTCATGGCCGTCGTGGGAATGGTCGTGATTCCCCCCCTGACCCTGGCCCTCGTGACACATCTTGCCGTCATAACTCATCCCCGTGGGGCAGCAGTGATAGCCATGGGCACCCGAGCCAGCAACGTCGTGTCCCTCGCCACAGCACTGGAACTGCGTGGACTGGCTGCCCCCCAGATGCTGGCCAGGCGCACAGCAAGCGACATACTGCTTGTCGCGGCTGAAAGTGAGGCCCTTGCCGCTGCCCTCGGCGCAGCCAAAGCTCTCCTCAAAGTCTGACCCCGGCCTCGTGTATTTGATTTTGCCGTGGTCAATGTTGGCATTGGGGCCGACCTGAACGACCTCGACGGCCGCAACGAGCAGGCATTGGAATCCGGCAAAGGCCAGACCAAGCTGCAGATACCTCATGGCGAGATGATCCTATCAGTAAGATATGGAGTACTGTTAAACGAAGCAAAAGGGCAAGGGTGAATTCCTAGAACGCTTTGGGTGATATAAGGAGCCGGTCGAGTGCAGAAATTGAAAGGCGGACACGTCTTTTATATCCCTGGTTTTACCCTCTTAACACAGAAATACGTGACGCATCAGGAATCGATATTATTCCAGGCGGTGCCCTTTTCAGAATGATTGCGGTTGCGCTTGAAGTCGAAGCCAATCATATCCAGACATGGCACTCTACCGCTGCGGCTGCTGATTCTGAGCCTTGACACTCGACGCCTCTGCTGTGCCGTATAACCAACGAGATTTGCTTACACCCAATATTCAACTTACCGAGACATGAACAGTCTGTAAATGGTAGCTGGCCCGGAAACGGGCGAGCTGAGAGCAGAGTAAACAACGACATGTCCGACGACCCGTCCATGGACTATAACAGCCGACAAGCATGCTCGGGCGTTTACCTGGCCTCCTCAGCTAGCCACGCTCAGCCGGCGGACGGTGACAAATGGGACTCGAGTCCCGTGCATGCTTCAACGCAGCCGGGACCTCAGCTGGCTCTCGTCACTTTGGACAACGCCAGGGCTTCCCCGCGATTTGGGAAGGATTACGAGCGTTTGTCGGAGCTACGTGGCCGCTGACAGGCGCGCCGTTTCAATGTCTCACCGTTTGCTGACGCTCGGCAGGCATGGGGATCCGGGGTGGGTTGCACCAGCTGTCCGAGAGAGCCGGACAACCACTTGCTTGTATGTATGCCGCGTATGTCAATGTGAACATGGCTCAAAAGGGAGTCGTCACGCCGTGGTTGGGGACACTGGTCGCTCATTTCGGCCCAATGGCTGTACCGAGTAGAGGCAACCCCTTTGACTTGGTTGCAGGGCAAATTGTGAATGTCCAGATTATTGGCGGATTCTTGTTGCCGGTAGTAGTTATATCGTATCACGAGCGGATGTGGTGTATATATTCTACGGGCGGGATTGCTGACGGCAACCTGAGACCTGCATCGGATTGCTGCCTCGCCAGGTTCGAGATATCTGGTCGTGTATATGTTGCCATCTTAGTCCTTGGCCAAGTCAGGTCTGATGTACGTGCGGCAGGGCCTGCATCAGAATACGCCTTCTGTGAGCTTTATCGTGAGAAAACTGCATAATGATAGGATATTTCTATCAAGCATGTATATGTCGTGAAGCATAGTGTATGTATCCCTTTCACATCTCAGCCAAGGTTAGCATTCACCCTTTGACGTTTAACCTCGGCACCACTGGTGGGAACATGACACCAATACGCCATTATTTGGTGTAGATTTGGCTCAAAAAATCGGCAAATGTGAGTCTATGCAAAGAGGGAAATTGAAGCTTAGTGCCTGTCTCGCCAGTACAATGCCTGCTACGGGAGATACTGATTCCTTTATTACCCTACGACTGGCGTAATGTTTCCATGTTTTATATCCGCAGGCCGGATGCCGGCTATAGTCGTCTGACACGAGACAAGAAGGAGTTTCTCACTAACCGAGGCATCTATTGCCCGCCTTGTGGGCAGGAGTAAACAGAACATATCCCAGTGTCTCGCCCCCAACTCTTCTCCCAACGGGGACTGACATACAGCATGACAGCATGCATTATGCGTCCTTGACGCCCTACTACTTGCTTACTTGTGGCCAAATCGGGCGACACCACATGCTCACCCTCCCCGCAATTTCATTTTCGGCAAACAGCTCGTGTCCCTCGAAATACATCCGCGGGTGCTCATAATTGCTGCGCTCGCTGCGGCATAGGATGGGTAGACCTTGTCCTGTCCGCCCAACCAAATCCTCTCTCACGATAGCCCCGTGCTTGACGGGGCGGTTTTGTGTCAATGAAAAGTGTTGGGCCCCTGGTAGCCTGATATTGGTAGAATTGCGCGAGGCTAAGCTGTGTCACAAAGCTTGCTTGTACTCGAGTTTGTCTCGCCATCCAAGTATAAAGTTCAAAACAGTTGTATGTCAGCCTGGAAAAGGAAAACAGCAAGGCAATAATTGGCTAGTCTAAATCACCTGGCTATCAGAGATGGCCAACAGGAAGTCTTGATGTCTTATGAGCCGATGATGGCTAGGAAGATGTAACTATCACGCCAGCTGTACGCATCCGCAGACTCGCTCACTCCTGGATCACATGTTGCCATGCTTCTCGATCCAGTCGCAGACGCCATATGTTGTATATGCGCCATCCTGCGATCGGGTTTTGTCTGGCTTCCTTTAGATACGCGCAATCACCACCGGCTTCATCCGGCGGTTAAGGAGAGTCGGCTGCAAGTCCTGCGGTACCACAATGTAACGAGGACCCTGGCACAGGAGGTCGTTCCAGGCATTGGTTTTACGTCAACACTGAACATTAATGCATAGGAGTGCTTGTCTGAGTGAGACAGTGACAGCCGAGTCATCCCAAGACGACATCGAAAGCAGCGATACTACGAGCAGCCAGCCTGCTGTGATGCTTTACACCGGCGGATCTACCGGTGTGCCAAACGGCGCCCTCTTCACGCGTGGCGGTCTTCTGAACCAGATATTTGGAGCCACCACTAATCTGAATCTCAAACTCGAGACGCCCGCAATACAGCCCTATGGGGTTTGACTTCCTGTCTTCCTACCATTGTGTAATGGCGGTACAGTGGTGGTGGTGGGCAAGGAATGGCGCCGAGATTCATTGCACATGGCGGAGCTCATGGTGAGAGAATCTGTCACGATGGCGCATTTTGTGCCCTCCGAGTACCTGATGCTCCTCAATTATGGACACAGCATACTTGAAAAGGCCAAGTCATGGCGATATGCCCTGTCCGGGGGGAGAAGCTGGGACGAGACGTACGGAGAGCCTTTCCAAAACTAGATTGTTCCAATTTGGAGCTTGTCATCGTCTGCGGGCCGGCAGAAATTATATTGACTTGTGCTCTAGGCATTGTACCTTGTTGTCATGTTCCTGTTGCAGATGACGATGGTCTTGATTACCTTGCGCCGTCGCCGAATTAGAGCCTCGAGATAGTGGACGAGGGTACAAACGTCCTCCCCGTCAGATATCCAGGAGAAGTCTTCATTGCGGGCCCGGAGTTGGACTTGGCCATCCCCAAAAGATTTGAGGGAACGATAGGCAACTTCATCCACAAGACAAGCGCAACTTCACCAAAGGCCGCTTCAGTGCCACACTAGATCAGAGTCTACAGATCGGGCGACAAGGGTAGACACTTGCCTGACGGAACGCTCTAGGCAATAGGGCGACTAGAGAAAGATGGCCGGGGAAAATTCACGGCATCCGTGTAGAGCTTAACGACATCTCGAATGCAATTGTCATTGTCTCGAGCGGCAGAATTGTCAACGCCGCCGCTTCTTTGAGACCTGGCCAACTGTCTGACATGCTGATTGTCTTTATTGTTTTTGACCTTGCTTTTACCGGGGACAAGGTCGACTTCGCAAACTGGCTCCGAAATAGCATTCCCCTAGGATAAGCTATCAGGCTGTCTCATTGTACCGGTGGAGCGAATACCCGCGACAGAAAACGACAAGACAGATAGTGTTGCTTTGACCCAACTGCCTATACATGACATGGCGAATCTGGAGGCTGTGAATGCAGCTTGAGTTCCATGGAGCAATCTATAGCCACCTTTGGCGCGAGATGCTCTCTACCCATATGTTTGGAATGTTGCCCGCAACGTGGAAGTCTAGTGTAGACTTTTTACAGATTGGGAACAGCTCGATTCTGTTGATCAAGCTCGAATTGTTGCCTTAAGTCCAATTTGGCATCACCATATCCATGCCTCAGCTCTTTCACGGGAGCACTCTGGGTAACATGGCTACTCTTCTGAAAAACTCCATGAGCGGTGTCGTTGACCTTGAAAACGGCATTACTGAAACGCAACTGCTTTGGTTATTTTTGCAACCCAGATCCATCTGCTCTCACGACTCGTCCAAGAACCAAGAGTGGCAAATGTGCATTGCATAGCAATCCGACCCAACGCATCAGGAAGGCCGCGTCATGTAGAAACAAAGAGTGACAAGATTGCCGCATACAGCGGCCATCTCTCCCATGTAAGCTTCGGCCTCTCGGGTGCCCAGTTTTCCTTCCTCGCCTCCCAAGCCGACATAATTGTACATAATGCCACTGACATGTCTCTGTTGAAGACACATCAGTCCCTGCATCGTGCCAATGATGTTTGATGTGTACCTTGTGCCGGATGGTAATCCCATGTCGTTTGTTCTTGCATCATGCCTCAACGGCGTCGGTGACCAAGGTCACGCAGATGAGCCACTTGGTGAATGCCCGGCATCATCGTCGGTCTTCCCGAGCTACTCGCCAGGGTACATCCATCGGCTGGCACATGCCGAGAGCCACAATGCCTCCGAGCTTGACGTCATAAGTATGCTGACCAAGTAAGTACTCGCCCCTGCTGAGGGAATTGCCGCGTCTAAGATATCAGAATATCTCTCTAGATGGGGAATGGCTCGTGGAGACTCGCTTACCTAGGAGAATTGTATGGCAGAGGAGCCTCCGCAAGTTATTCCGCATCTAAAGAGATTATAGGTGAGTGGAATCTTGTTGCCGTAGAAAATGTGGCAGGGACTTTGGTAGCATCGGCTTAGAATCTGTCACGATGTCTGCTTTTCATCGTGATTCTTCACAGCAGTAACAGCTGCAAAAGAGTCTTGACCCTACTTTTATCAACTACTGCGGCGATACGAGGGTTCCTCAGATTAAGCTCAAGGATTTTCTAGAGAGCATAGCTGGAGAACTAAAAAGAGGCTTCGACTTTGGTTAGACGTGCCATGGGCCAGTGGCGTGCGCTAAAAGCCAATTTTTATTACGAGTCAAGTTTAAATATCAGCATGTAAAAACGGTCCACAGCAACTGCAACTACTTGGTGAGTGCATATTTCCCCCAATATCTCAGGGTTTCTGAACCTCCCCCATTAGTTGTTTTTGGGGCCAGGTGGCGCCGGTCGCGCACGCAGCCCGAGTCAATAGCATGAAGCCAAGATACATTGCACATGTAATAAGAGCATAATAACAGGAGCAATTGACTCACTCAGTTTGTAAGACCCACGCGCCAGACTTGGCTGCATTGCTACGTGTACCCTATCATGCTTATGCAGTATTATTTTATGCTACACTATATTTGAAACTGCACTTACTGCTGGCCCGCCCCATTCAAGTTATAATGTATTGGCTGACACGTAAGACATTGCATGATGAATAATGCGTCGTTTTAATAAATAATTTAATGCTAGCTTGGTTTACGATTCATGTTTATAGGGTTATATACACAGGAAAGTTGGCATTAACCATATAGCAGAATCCGGGTTTTACGACCATAAAAGTACCCTTTTAGCCGAGAATACATATTATAAAGACACAGTATACACCTCTTTTGCACTGCATTTAAGGCTGCTATTAGCATGAAATAGCCGAAACATGAATGCATTTCCAGGTTATTAAATGACGCTACACCTGGACTCTACTGCACGACTGGCGCTATAGTCTATAATCTGTATTCAATGTTGACCAAGATGGAACTTGGCAACGACTGTTCAACATGACATAGCCTCAGGCTTAGCCTTTTTATTAGGCCACATTTGCCCCTCTTTTTTCTCTGGCTTTACATATATAAGTCGGCAGGTAGCACCCAGATAAAAGCGTCAACTACCAAAGGGAAACCGAACAAACAAACCAGACCAGACCTACTAGACACCATTTCAACCTACCAGACATTACCAACACTTGCCACTTTACTCTATTACCCTCCAATTTCTTATTCTTTCAAGTCATCACGCTACTACCATGCTCGCCCTGTCGTTCTTGCTATGTGCCGCGGGGGTCAAGGCGATGCTCGGCATTAAAGTTGATGGTGTCGAGATCACAGACAAGGAATATGTTTGTGCCGACGACTGTACCTTTGAAGGTGTTTGGTTTGGGGAGAATGGGAACGTGTGCGCCGCGAAGGAACTTGTTGTCGTATTACACGACGGCAAGGTGAACCCTAAAAACATTGAGTACGCCTGTGCAGAAGCCGCAAATCCCGAGTGGTCGACGCGCCCGCCTATGAACGGAGAAGAACCAGAAAGTTGCTTTCTTGACAAAATAGATCCATTGTCGCCTGTCAAATACAATTGCGAAGCGAAAAGGATCAGCAAAGACAAGAAAGTAGACGTTAATGCTGATCCGGTGCTGGAACAGTGGTCAGAGGTGAGAAAGATGCTGGGATTGCCGCCAAGCCAAGAGGCACAAGGATGCGGACAAGCCACCGACGGAGCCACAAAGATCGACCAGTGAGGGACCTGCGGCTATATCACACCAAAAAATGGGCGTGGCCACGCCATATATATTGATGTGTTAATACCCCCTATATAGCCATGCGACCAGCTTCTTGTACTCCTTGTAACTAGGATACTAGCGTAAGCTGATTAAATACTATTAAAATTTTTTTATTATACTAGTACTTTAACTTTTATAAAATATCGCGTGATATAATAGTAAAAGGGCAATATACTTACACGGCATATCCCTGGATAGGGGGTAGGTAGTTTAATATTTTTTAACTTAATAAAATTAACTTAATTTACTTGTACTATTAATTAATTTTTTAACTCTTTTATAAAATATCTAAGGTTCTTAGTTTCCAAGAGAAAAGTGAGAACAAGTAACTGTTATACCCAAGGTGTTCAACGGGTTATATATTTAGTCCGTGTAACTTCAAGGTCCTTTGTCAGCGATACCCCTTTGCTAGACTCTATTGCTAGGTCCTGACCATGTAATAAAATAATCAGACAACCACCTTAAGTATCTTAATAGATGACAAATAGCACCCTTCTTCATTGCAAAGTATCGTATACCAACTGCACTCGAGTGAAACTATATACCTCTCGGTTGTCGTGTCGCGGATCTAATCCCTGAGCTTCCTAAAACTATCGACAATTGCCTGTATATCAACCCCAGGTACGCCTAGCATCTCCTTTGTATCCCTGATATTTGCGTCAAGATTCTCCAACAGTTCTGGCGATAACGCAGCCTTGAGCTTCTCTAGCGCAGTGACTAGGCCTTTATTGGCTCTTAACAGGGTGTCTTCTCTTCTCTTTCCAGGAAGAGTATCAGAACGTACGGCGTACTCGCTGTAATCGAGGTAGTTGACGCACGGTCAAGAGCCGAGACCCCGTCTCTATTATCATACTCATTCAGGATAGGATGGCCGCCAAGGTCATCCGGGTTAATGTTTCGGCTCCCGAGGCATTCGTCAACACTAGTGTAGTTCTCTCCATTTTGTGGCATCTTGTAAAGGCGGCGAAAACAGCATGTCATTTTGCCAGTGTTTTCCTCCGATGGGACCGGAGACGGGAGGGAGCAGCGGTATGACATCAGGTTCAAAGCAGCCGGTAAAGTCGGTTGGAACCTTCTTAAATGGCCTGATGTCGCCCGCGACACGTTGCTGCTGAGGTGCCGTGAGAACAACACCCGCGAGGAAGTGAAGCGCCATGGCAAAATTCATCGCGAATATAGAAATAAGATCAGGCGATCCGGTTAATAGCAAGGCCAAGTGTAGAGCTTAAACAAGAGATGGGTTGAATATTCCAGCAGAGTATCCTCGGGCATGCGCTCCTTTATATGTTCGTCGTGCGGTTCTACCCTCTTTGGAGCAGCAGAGCCCCGGGTCCTGAAAGCTGCTTCTAGAGTCGGAGGTATTATAGGCATGACACCACGTGGTGTGCTGGTGCCATGATGCATTACTCTGTAAGTTGTAAATATGGCTATATATAGGTGGGTTATGCTGGGATTTGGCTTGCTATAAAGTAAAACTACATGCGTAATCTCCTTGGTAGCGTGAGGGAAGGGCAACGTACGGACTTCTCCGTGAACGGCGCCACGCGAATAGCGTTTTCCATTGGCCTACTAATCTCGTTGATTCGTTAAAGGTGGCTGCAAGTAGGTGAAAAGACGACTAGGCGCTACACGATGGTGTATGTAGTCGGCCCTGGAGGTGTCCTGACAAGCACCGGCAGTGCTGTCCGGAATCGGTCGGCCTATGCTAGCATTTTGCAAACCACTCCATCAGGCAATCGACGTGCGGTCAATAAAGTAGGATGGCAAGTTTGAAAATAGTAAAGGAGATGAACTATGAGCCCAAAAGAGTTATTAAAGCTGTGATTTGTGACGTAGTTTAACATGTCTCATAGCCAAAGTCTTTCACACTGCCTATTTGACGTCAAGACACATCACTACTCCTTTAGTCTGAGTTAATTACACCTAAAAGTGTTTTCTCGGACAGCTATCGGGGAGTGAAACAGATATATGCGCATTTGTACACCAGTTCCTGCATCTCTGTACAAGGCAATGTAGTTTCTAAACGTCCGAATTGTGATTCAACGTGAAGGAGACTGTGTTAAAAGGTGCTGACACGAATGTCGAAGTGAGAAACAGGAGTGACAGAAGAGTAATCGACACTGGATCGTTTTCATTTCAAGGCAAGTACTAATAATTCTTCTCCATCCAACCTATAAAGTAAGGTCAACAACTATTATCCCGCGTCCCGAATGCCAGCCCAGTAGACCTCATCCTGTGGTCCATGCATGAAAAAATCGCGTTATTCACCATGGATGGCTCTATCGAGGCATGATTAGCATAGACTCAGGACCATAACAAAAACATTGTGCTGCTCACCCTTCCATCCCAGCACCAAAAGGTACCCGTGTCGCCTTGTCCCTTTTCCGCCATGACCGCCAACATTCCCGACACACTTTCCGAGGCGCTAATGCAGCCCTTCACTTCCCAGCCGAGTTGAATATCCGCCATGTCGCTATTCCCACGGTCAGTTGGGGGGCCGTCCGCCGGGCCAGAAGGCATTCAACTCACGTTTCCACTTCTCCGGGATGAAGAGCCAAAATGACTGTTTCGCGCTTCTTCTGCTGGCATCGTCTCAACTCGGCCGCCATGTGGCGCAGCATTTGGTTCAGCGCACTCTTGCTCGCAGCGTAGGCTCCGAACCCGTCTTCAAAATCCAAGAAGCGGGCTGTTGACCCCGAGTCGGACGAGATGAAGGCCATCTTGGGGGGCGGAGAATCAGGACTCAGGTCAAGCAGTTTTTGTGCGCAGATGATGGGCCCGATGGTGTTGGTATGCAGATGAAGCTCAAAGTCCGCAAACGAGATCTCGGTCGCTCGGTTGGGGTACTTTAAGACGCCCGCGTTCAGGACGACATTTCCCAGCTTGATGCCTTTATGCACATGTTGCTGCATTTTGTTGATAAAGTGCTAATAAGTTCTTGTTAGTCTTTCCTTGACTCTCTGTTGAGGCAGGCTTACGGTGATGCTTTCATCGCTTGAGACGTCGCATTGTTCGACGATGCATCGGTCTTGAGCTCCTTGCGAGGCAATCAAGTCGAATAGTTTTGGAGCGGCTGACACATTGCGCACCGCGGCGATCACTGGCTGGCCGGATTCCAGCAGCTGCTTGACAAACTCCAGGCCGATTCCTCGAGAGGCGCCTATAATCACCCAGGGCTTGCCGTCCATATTCGTGTTGGATTCCTTTCAAAGGAAACGCTGGATGCCGAAGTGGAATCAAATGCAACCACCTGCTTCAGTTCGTCGACTGAGGACTCCACCAGTTAACCTTGGAATTACCCCGCTTGAGACAACATGGCATGACAAGGGTATGAGAGCGAATGTGAGGTGAATAGATCGACCTAACCCTTCACAGGAAGTGGCACCACAATACCAATGTTCATCTTAAACTTCACTCGAAGCCTGTCTCGAAGGCACCCGAGAAACTGCCACAAGGACAGCTGGAAGTCGTTATTCCTCGAATCTAGCATTGCCATTACGACATGGAGTAATCACGGGGTCAACCAGCCGACTCCCCAGCTCCGACTCTCCTGCATGTGCTTTGTACTTCATCCAGCCTGTGCCAGAAGAATGCACCCAGATCTGATCCGACACCGCGGCCTTGTGGAAGGACTCGGTGACCATGCTTCTCTACATTGCTGAAGCCCAGGACCTTGCCGCGGCATTGACCTCTTGCCGAGGACGGAGGCATAACCACGTGGATTCTCGTACCTATCACGGCGCGGAAACGCGTGGTGATCCTGCCGAGCCGGGATCACATGCTGTGGCATATCCGAAAGGAAGACTTTGTCACGGACTACATTTTCGGGCAGAAGAGCGCAAAAGGTGCGATTGGCGGGAGCCCCGGAAAGCAGGTTTGGGCGGTCTGGGTGCGTCGTTACTACGGGCACCCGGGTCATCATGACGACGCGGAAGAGCATGTCAGAAATGTCATGTTCTTTACGTCCTGCGCCTCGTGGTGGAAGGTGATGAATCTTCCAACAAGCGTCACGGGGGTCAGCTGGCGCCGCTGAGAGATGCGTACGCGGAGCAGGCGGCGGCGCTCAAGGCCGTGCTGCAGGCCGCTCAGGCGGGAGTAGCGGCGTGGCGTCTAGATGAGGTGAAATTGTGGGAGGCGTCGTCTTTAGGGAAGAGCCTTGTTGAGCAGAACGGCCTCGATGGTACCTGGGTTGAGCGGCAGGAGGACTGCGTTGCGTGTGCGAGGTGGGCGGGCGAAGGAGGGTGATGGCGCAGATGAGCCTCCTGTTTGGCGGAACAATGAGTATTACGCATGGTGCTAGGGCGGTACTGTGCAGATTGGTTCTCTGATTCCTTAATTTCCCGGTTAAACTTGAGATATTTCCACAATGGTTATCGTTGCATAACTGAGCCTGGGAGTAAAAGAGGCAAGAATAGCGGGCCTTGGCCAAATAACTCGAAATCACCGTATAAGTGTGCTCCTTGGACTCTTGACACTGGAAAACCTTGAAGGCTGGACTCTTGAGTTTACTGGTTAAATAAGCAATCCGAAGTGCACTTCTCTAGTTGTGTACTCCGTGCTGTCCGATGCACTATGCTCAAGCATATCAAATCTCATGTTTAACCGACCATCAGTTCCCCAGGAACCAGAGTCTGGCCCTCCTATAGTCTCAGTTGATAGGCACTTGTGCATCAAGGGATTATGTACAAGCCAATCCACGTAAAAGCCGAGCACCGCGTGAGCCAGTCGGCCAAGTATAAAGCGCCTCAAACCTCCAGTTCATCATAGAAACTATGCACAACAGACGCCGTCTGATGAAGAAGAGTCCAGTAGACTAATGCGCGTTGTATCAGTCACCTAAATAAAGCCCAAGTGACTCCTGCGCCCATTTGCCACCAAAACCCAACCTTCCTCTATACAATCTCCTCCAACTCCCTTCTTATCCCGCGCCGAATGCTCCGGATACTTGTGTATATTATCTATAGCCCAAACCAAGTCCCTCCCCAGGGCAGGCGGTATTCTACCCTCGCCACTCAAGGTCCCCAGGCCCGCAATATCAAACAAGTACCCCAAGTACTCGGCCGTCTCGCCATTTTCCCACGGAACATCGTGAAACTTTGCACCCCGGGCCCTCGTCTTCTCCGCCTGCTGCACTTCCCACGCCTCTTGTTCCTCCCGCGACGGCAGCGGCATCGAGTTTCTGTTGGACCACAGCCGCGCAAGCGCAATGGCCTGGTACTCAAAGCTTCTGAACGTCAACGTCCTCGGAAGTCCCACGATCCCGAGGTTAGGATAGTCCCGGAAGAAGGTGTGCCGGTAGCTCTTGACCAGCCTATCGGCTTTATAGTCCCACAAGGGCTGCTTGTTGACCTCTTCATTCCAGAATGGAAACGAAGCCTTGTAGCCGGTGCAGTAGATCACCGCGTCGACATTATCCAGGTATGTGTCGTCGGCGAATACGACTCTGCCGTCTGGTTGGAATTCTCTAATGGTAGGCTTCCACGATATTCCGGGCGGCGGCTCGTCGCCGTCCCACTTGGACTTGGAGCGCCGGGATACATGGACGGGGTGTTGGGCGGCAGAGACCAAGTCGGCGGCGACGTCGTGGCCGGAGGCGGAGTTGCCAACGACAATGACTCGTTTGTGTTCGTAGAGTAGGGGCGAGCGGTAGAACTTGGAGTGGGAGACTCGCCCGGGAAACTTGGCCATGTATGCCTCGAGGCCGGGGACTTGCGGTACCTGTCGCTGGGTTAGCTTTCCGCGTGCTTCGACATGTTTGGGTGCTGATGCGTACATAGGGAACCGAGTAGTGCCCGTTGGCTAATACCACGGCGTCGTAGAACTCTTCGCGCCACACGTCGAGGTTTCTGGTGGCGTCGTGTTTCCGGAGCGTCAACTTCCAACCTCTGGCGCCGCTGGGCGCTGGCAATGACACGCTCGAAAGATCCTCCACAGTCGTGTTAAGCTCTAGGAAGGAATCTGTCTGGTGGATGGCAAAGTAATTCTCGACATATTGCCGGGCGACGTAGTGTGGCACAAAGGGGCCGTATGCAAATCTCGAATCGGAGAAGCACATGGCTATGTCAGGGACATTTGTTCTAGTTGTATATTCAGTGTCAGGATTTGCCACAGGACTCAGAGGAGTCTCACGTCAACATGTTGTAAATGGGCGTCGCCGTCCACCGCTCACGCCGGATGTGGGGGGTATTTTGGGGCAAGTCATGGGGGATATCTAAAGGTTGGTCGGTTTCGGTCGGTAGCTTTCCCGGATACACAGGATGGTTAGAACCTGGATCTTCATCGTGTATCCTGGCCAAAGGTCAAAATAAAAAGGCCCTGTACATCTCCACGGACTTGGTTACAAACCAGGTTCCACCAGCTGATTCTCGGCGTTCAAAGACTCGGATTCGATCAAAGTAGTTCTCAGCTTTCAGCGCAGATGCTGCAATTGCACCTATCAACTTGACGATTAGCCCAGCACCGTTGCATAATGTCAAATTCAGAGGGGGGAAAAAGTACCAGCGGGTCCGGCGCCAATAATTGCAACCGATTTGATGTCCGACTTAAGACCATTCATAGTATAAGTATGCAGGCAAATAAAGAGAAATTCCAAGCCCGCTTACAACGTCTCAAAGAAATGCACGACATGGAAATACACGCCCACGGCTATGAGAAACAGCTGCGGGGAAGGGGGATCGAGCTCACATATCAATTCTTAGTCTCGCAACAATTGCACATGATCATTATGCCGATGCGGTCATTCTGTGGTTATCGCGTGTGGGAATGCGCCATATTGGTCGGTATTGCATCAGACTCTCCTTGACCAATCCGAATGGCCCTGCCTGCTTGTCGCCGCGTCCTAATCACCACCCCGGATCATGGGCTATTGCATTTGTCATCCGAGACGGAGCGATTGCGGGTCTCGGAATATCGCTGCAGGCTGCCGGTCCAGTTTCACCAACTTCATCCATTGCCCCAGCTTGCTGATGCCCAGGTTCGGGAGACGATCGAAACCATGGCGCACGAGGGTGATGTAGAGAGCCAAAGCAATCCTCACGAGGAGACACCACTGCTAAACGGCGAGCCGTCAAGTCCGAGGGTCGATGATCCCGAGTCCGAGCCCGGGAGGGGTAGATGGAGTTACTGGAGACTATTTTGGGCCGTCCTCGCAGTTGTCGTCGCCATTGTTTTTATCAAGGGCTGGATTGATGCGGGCAGCGACGTTGATGTTGGTCTATTCGCGACTTGTAATGCGCCCATCTATTCTCAGCTGACGCTTCTGCTTGCATCATAGTTTGACCTGAAGCATGCATTGAAGAAAGCGCTCGGTGGAGGTCTCAGCGGCGCCGCAGCCATGGTTTTACAAGTTCTGCTGCTAATGGTACCTCTTGTCCTCATAGATGTCATCGAATAAGAAGATACTGACGGAAACCAGCCACTTCGCACGATAATGAATTACCAGTACCGCTTTGGGACCTCGTTTACGACTGCGACCCAGACCCTATATCACGCAGGAGGGCTCGGTCGCTACTATCAGGGTCTCACAGCTGCACTTGTTCAAGGTATGTGGCGCAAGCATGTTTTGAATTGCTCAAACTGCCAAATAAGCATCTGGGAACTAACTGGCAATCATCCCAGGTCCCCTTGCAAGGTTTGGAGATACCGCTGCAAATGCCGGCATCCTTGCCTTGCTACAGTCCAATTCATACTTGAGTCAATTGCCCTCGCCCGCAAAAACAGTCTTTGCTTCTCTTTGGTATGAGTATGATTTTCAACAGATTTAGTCCTTTACGCTAAGACATGTACCAAGTGCTGCCGGTTTCCGGATGGTCCTCACTCCCATTGATACTCTAAAGACAACTCTCCAAGCACAAGGACCTAGTGGAATCGACTTGCTGCGCCAGCGCTTCCAGAAATACGGAATTGCGACACTGTGGTGGGGAGCATTTGCTACGGCGGGAGCAACTTTTGTCGGGCATTATCCGTGGTTTGCTACGGTAAGCTGAACGCTCGAATACAAGGCGTTAGCATCCAATTACTCACATACTGTAGTATAATCTCCTGAACGAATCCATCCAGGAGCCGCCCAAGTCGGAATTATTCCTGTGGTTGCTGCGTCTAGCTTTCATCGGATTTGTCGCATCCCTTATTTCCGACTCCGTGTCAAATTCCTTGAGAGTCGTCAAGACATATCGTCAAGTCAACGACACCCAAGTCTCTTATAGTAAGACTTGTGCCTGTTATTCTAAATGTGTCTTCTCTAATCATGGTATCCAGCCGAGGCGGTTAAGCTGGTGATTCAAGAGGATGGAGTCCTCGGACTTCTCGGACGAGGCCTCGCAACGCGAATACTATGCAACGGTCTACAGGGCGTCTTGTTTTCCATTTTGTGGAAAATCTTTCTCGATATGTACGTCTGACCCTGTTCCAGTGATACGTTAGCTGACTAGCTAATACTTGACGATGCAGCTGGGAAAAGACGACCAGCTCCTAAGACGCCGACTGTGGACGGTCAAGGCGACGCTCTAAGCACCCACGCTTCATCACTCCACATTATCCGCTTCACATGGTAGCAAATTTACCAATTTTTTGCGACAAATCAGTTTCTCTAGGTTTATTTACTGTCATTGTCAAAATGTGTGTGAACTGGTCAACTAGACCAAGGTTTCTAGATGCTATCAACTTTGTCGCCTTCGTGCCGTAAATTACACACGTACCAACGCATAAAATTTGCGCTCGATTTGGGTTTGGGGTTGAAATCCACAGAGAAACACCTGCATTCCTTCCTGTCTTAATTTAGTCTGTTTTGGTTACTAGTTTATGTGACCACGTGAAGCAAACCTAATTGATATTAGACTTATGCTAGCATTAAGAGTGTTTTTATAGTTCAGAGCAAGAGCATAAACCGATAAAATAGAGATAACTATCTAAGAATGTAATTAATAAGAAACCGCTTCAGTAAGACCATCTCTCTGCAAAGTTCATCGACGGTAGCTGAAGTTGGCGAAATTATAAGACAACCAGGTGGCCGAGTGGAAGGTCTTTGTGGCTAGCTCTCGAATCTATGTCTTGTAATAGTATAAGCATCATGACCAAAGATCATGTCTAGCACACTCTTAATATCCGCGGGACGCTTCTCATCAACATCCGAGCAGACTTGGAACTGCTGGTGCCACGCGGCAACAGGAACTATAATAGCTTGGGGACATGGAATTGTAGTATCAGCTCTTTCTATACGTAAAGCGCAACGAAGTTACATGCTAGTAGTAATAGTCCCGCCTTGACCGACCGAGCTTACATTCCAGCTGAGAAGTCCATGCAACGACCAAGAGCTCTCTTTGTCAGAACGTCCAACCCCAAGCTGGCAATCCCCCGTGTACTTAATACTTTTTAGCGAAGCATTTAATGGACATTGGGGCAGTATTTCTGTCCAATAAGTTGCATCCGTCACTAATGTAGGGCCCTGATTCAATTGCCCGTCCATTACAGTTTGAAGCCCTATCGGCTCATTTTGTCAGAGACTGGTAACAGATACGGCGGTCCTCAGGAGTCGCTACCGGCACTTACGAGTACTTGGTGCAACTGAGCCCTTTATTAGCGAAGGAACAGAGGGAACTAGGGTATCACTATTTAGTTTCAATACATTCAACGAAAAGAGTCTGACATGACGCATACCCAAAGCCTTGGATACTGGTACAATTCCCGCTATATAGAGGAGTCGAAACATTGCTTGAACAATTCGAATCCGTATGAAGATTGGCCTAGAAAGAATGAGCAACTCCGAGCAACGAGCACATACGTAGAGGCGATGGAGTACATACAAGAACTCCCAGTCGCAGCTTGCCACACTGATTCGCATTGGCAGTCGACAACATTGCGAGGACCGGGAAAATGAAGAGGCGCATTTTAACTACCCTTGATTCGAGGACTGGTTTCAAATGAACTTTGAATCAATGTATCTGAACTGATTTGCAATGCGATTTTGCAATGGGGCCGCAGGTTGCCGCGCTTTTATACTTGACTACGGCGCAACGTCTGTAGAGCGGACTGGAGAGCACGGCGATGATTCATCTCTGCAGACTGACTCTCGACAATGCACTGCCCTTTCAGAATTCAACAATGATCGACAGAAAGTCTCAATCAACTGCGCACTCGTATTTTCCCAGGATCGCAGATAATGTCATGTGCCCCCGGGCCCTCCGGTGAGGCTGGCGGAGATGTCTTCTTCCCACCCCTATTCGTAATGATGGATGTGTCAGGGACATTGTCCTTGCAGAGCTCCGAGCCTCGTTGACCGTTCCAACGTCGAAGCGTCGCCACGAGCGTATGGCCACCGGGCGAGATAATGACACATTCATCTCGTCGCGACGGACGCGCCGGGTATCAAGTCCAATGTACATTGGGCTGATGACATTTATCAAGAGTGCCACCTGACTCTGCCTCTACGCCAACAGTTGGTGTAGAGCAACGCATGGTGTGTAGTACAGCGCGTATCGCTGCATTATGCTTACCAGCCTACTATAGTGCAGAGTTCAATGGTACGACCATAACGTATTACAAGCGAGAAAGATGCTGCAGGATCGCCGAAATACCACCCGTTTATACCACGAGGATCGGTAACACTACTTGGTCATGCTTCGGATATCGGCAGCGTATAATCGTGTTGCCACAAACGGTCGTCATCGGGCAGTCGCTCCATCATTCCAAACCACAAAGTGGTGTTGGAGGATGCTACATAAACTTCGTACCATCTATCTCGTGTCACTAGTCATAGTTGTACCCGCTAAACATGGACCGGGCTGACGGACTTGACATTTTCAGCTCACTGGAGATTGCTGATGTCAGCTTCTGCATGTCCAATTTCGCCCAGCTACGTAGTATAAAACTCGGATGGCCGAGGGACGAGTCAGGACAGAATTGTAGTGGCTGAGACATTAGAGGTGACATATCCACTGGAGCGCTGACATTATTGCCTTGCGATATGTCATGGACTCTGGGCGTAGTCGACAGTGAGGAAACGACATTGTAACATGATTTTGAAGCCAAAGGATCAGGGTGTGTAACTAGTAACAAATTTGGCTTTTTATTTGAGCCCATTGGGCACAATCTTTAATTCCACGCTCTCGGTGATTTGGTGTTGCTGGCTTTCATGACTGAATGTTGATGACAGAATAACTACTGAGATGACGCAGACGAGTTAGGCCTAAAAGAGGCACTGAACTTGATTAACCTCTAAGCCTCTTTACCTTCTCCCTTTGTGTTTACTAGCACCTCGCTGCATCCTTGCGGCAAGCCGACTCGAAACGCCTCCATAGTCGGTCTCTACTATTCTGTTGAGTTACATATGATGATTACAGCTGCTATGGTAACAGTCCGTAGGCGTCTACAATTTTTGCCTTGTGGCTTAATGCATAATTGACTCAACATATGTATTCACTCCAATGTTTCTCTTACACCGAAACAGCGGGGCAGCTTATGCAGCCAGCACTGTCTGCATCTGCACAACCCATGTGCATGATCTGCAACATGGTGCTTGAAGTCTGACACGGGGAGGTGATCCTTTTTCTAAGCTGCATTTCCGTTGTACTAACCAAAAGTGGAGGAAATTCCGGGGTTTTCGTCCGTCTCTATCTCCCCTCCAAGTTCAGCGAGCCAGGATCCTAACAAGACCGGAAGCCTTTGACACTAAACGCCAGCTACCAGACGATGTCTTGGAAAGATCAATATTGTAAGATTCCAAATATGGACTATAGCCAGCTCGCTTGCAACTTGAATGAAGGACCAGTTTTCTGTAAATGCGGCCCGTGGCTGCTAACCGCTATACGCAGCAATTATATTATTTCGATTTGCCTCTCGTCCGCCTCTTCTGTCTTTCATTCTATTTAGATTCCTACGCGGCCTCCTCTTGAGATATCCAGGATCGGGTACTTGGCTATATTTGCAAGCGCCAAAGCTACTGCAATGCGTCGGGCGGGAGACCTTCCTGAGGGAATTTTAACAAAGTCCACGTTGTACGCTGGTCTAACAAAGCGGGTGTTGGGCAATTCGCGGCGGTTCGTTCCTCAAAGCACGTAGGCCCGAAAGTTGAAACACCCGATGGCCATGATTATGCATGCAGCTCCAGACAGGATGACGTATAGTAGCGCCAAGGCTGAAACAAGAACGGGAGGACGTAACCTGTTGCGGCTATAATGCTCAGCTCACGCGAATCAGCCAAATGACTTGACTCCTCAGACCTTGCGCAACAACGCGGCCGCCGTGCTCGAAGCCCGTATACGACAACGTCTCGGACCCAAGTATTTGATTCGATTGGACCTAGACAGCAGTCTGCATGCTGGGATCTGGCTTGTCTCCGAAACGAGACATGATCAACCCAGTCGCGATGTAGGTGGGCAGTGGTTCGATCTGAGTCAAGGATGTTTGAGTTAAATGGACATGAACCAATCAAAGGTTGCGAATCTTGCGACGCGGCAGTCGGGGAAATAGCCCGATTCGGCGCCGGAAATTTGAAGTCTATTGTCCGGGATGTAACCATGAACGACTGGAGAAGCTCCACTGGGCGCAGTTTGAGATTGTTACAGCACAAGAACTACCTTGACCAGCTGACAGAGAATGACTCCCTACATGCATTCACAAGAAGTCGTGGCGATGGATTAGTTGCAGAAGCAGCGGTGTTCTCACCCAACTTGCTGCGGAGAGTTTTGGAACAGGCCGCCAGCGATAAATTCATGCGCTGATTGATATTGTCCATCACGCGTCCAATGTCATGTCGGCGCATATGTAACTTGATCCATGTCACATTTATGCTGTCCACACCAGGCCTTCGCTTTTCAGTTGATCAAGATGTGGTCAAGGGGAGAACTCGGTTCCTTTATTGAGTACACAATCTTCTCACCAATACCAACCAAGAGCTTACTACATTTCAATGTGGTTTGCTCTGACATATTGGCTGTACAGCTCTATTCACGTGCTTATGACATAGAGTTCCAAATGTCCCGCGTCAGATACCGCTATTTGTACCATCGAATAAAGCATGATGTCATGTTCAACTCATCTTGAGCACCATTTCCACATACTGGGGGAACAAGCGAGGCTTCTCCCTAGTGACTTCTAGTAGTGAGCACACTGGGGCTGGCATGAATACCAAGCTCGTAGCTATTTTAACTACTGGGACCAACCATGGAGACGATCAACTTGAGACGCTGAATCAGAGCTCGGGACGTCTTTTTCAGCCGTCACTTGCTAGGTGTCAATGTGTTGACAGCGGCGATCCCTTGACCTCTGTAGTATGCTGTCAATGCACGAACTACTAAAACTCGCCGAACCCTTGTAGCATTGCCATATCTCCGCCAGCGGGGCCAGCTGGGGGCATGATATACTTGAGTAGAGAATGAAACACCTACTTTGGGCTTTTTCAGCACCGATTGGGCTGTGTTGTCTTGTCTATGTGAAAGCTGACCATGTGTAGACCCAGGTGCCACGAGTCGTCGCCATATAAAGACTCCCGACTTTTGTATGCCTCCATGTCGTTGCATCTTGGGCATATCATAGTCGTCCATTTCTAGTTGAATTGCACCTTATACTTGGAAAAGAATAACTAGAGCCAACATGAGACTTACTGGGCTTGTTACGGCTTTGAATCCGGCCACGGTCGTGGCCTTGTCCATCACCGGCCGCGGTTCTTCTTTGGAAGCCCGAGAAAGGCCAAGCCTCGCCCAGACTTACGAGAACCTCGCAGCGCTTGATGTTGTCAACGGCACCGGATGTACAATCAACGGGGACGAAGTGCCCGAACAGAGACGCGCAGACACAGACAGGAGCTGTGCCAATCAACAGCAACAGGTCGACGCCGCGCTTGCACAATGCATCCAGCTAGCAAAGAGAGCCGAGCAGGACGCCAAAGACGGATCACCTACTTTTCAGCAATACTTCAATACCAACGATGCCGACACCCGCAACCGGGTGGCACAATCCTTTGCCAAGATTGCTGCTGGCTGCGGCCATGATGGGAACCAACCCATTAGGGTTGAGTGCACCCCGAATGAGCCATGCTTTCTTCCGCAGAGCGGCAACACGGAGCTGGCGGCCGTAGCAACCATCACGTCGGGCACTCCGGGGTCGATTCGGCTCTGCCGCAGTGCCTTTGACATGGCCGCGGGTAGTCGTCAGCGCCGTCAGAACCAGGGCCAGGGCTGCGGAAACACTCTCACCAACTTGGAGGAACTGTTTGTACACGAGATGTCCCATACGACAGTGGCCACTGGCGATATTGCCTATGGCAAGCAAAAGTCCAAGCAACTTGACACGGACAGAAGTCTAGAAAATGCTGACAACTACGCGCTCTATGCCGGAGACATTGCAAAGAATTGCAACGGCGCCGGAACAGGTAATGGGAACCGGCCGCCAAACAACGGAAATAACGGCGACAATGAGCCTCCCAACGGCGGGAATGGCCGGCCTCCTACCGGCTTTCCGGGCAACAATGGCGGGCCATCAAACAGACCCCCAAATAACAGGCCTCCAACTAACGGACCATCGGATGGCGGACCATCAAACAGACCCCCGAATGGCAGACCTCCAACTAACGGGCCATCAAATGACTTTCCCGGTTTTGATAACCAGATCGACAATGACAACAACTTTCAGTCGGGAGGCAACAACAATAACGGACCGTCAAACAGACCCCCAACAAACGGACCATCAAATAACGGACCTTTCGATAACGGACCTTTCAATAACGGACCCTCCAATAATGGACCCCCAAATAACGGACCCCCGAATAACTTCCCTGATTCTGATGGCCAGTTCTCCAATAACAACAACGTCCAGCCGGGAGGGAACAACAATGACTTTGACCTCGACCCTAGCATTATATCTGAAATCCTTGGATCCAACGATTTTGAGGTGGTCCCAGCTGGAAAATAGATGAGATAGTCTTGGCCCAATCTGTATCTTCAATTATACTCGCTAGTTTGTACATGCGTTATATGTATGTTATTTCATTATGACTCTGGAGCGAGCACGCGGAATTTTGGGGAGCGGTCGGTTCCTGCTTCCTGGTAGCAAGCAGGACAAGTGGAATTTCAACGACAAGGACTTTACTTGCAAATATATCATGCCTCGACTTTCAACATGTTTCTATTTGATGCCTGCGTGTTACCTGGTTGGCCGTGATTCCCCACTGGCATTTTAGGTAATGGAAGTGTTTTGTCAAGATGGATGTGACAAGGGTTCCATGTTTGAAGGCTTGGAGCAAAAGGGCTCAATTCAATAATAATATCGAAGGGTCTGTAAGGTCTTTAGTTACTACAAGAGAAGAAGAGAAGGGTGACCTCCTTATATACATAAAAGGAACGCCCAGGCCCAGGGTCCTTACATGGGCACGTGTTCTAGCTGTGTAACTAACAAGCCCTGTATCGGCGAAGCTCCTTTGTTGGGCTTCACGATCTGTTGGGCCTTTTCCGTGTAACAATGGACGAGATTCTTGTAATATGTAGCTGATGAAGGAAGAATTTAGCACTGTGCAACACTATACATTTCATCTACACACGAAGATTATACAACCAAAGACAAATCCTGGCCAGTCTGGTGCTGGGTACGTACTGCAACAATACGGAACCGCTGTTCGATCCACGACGATCACGTCGGCCTGGCCAGCGCTGTGAGAAGGGCTTGCTTCGAACAATATTTAATTTCAGCTAATATCAAAGGTCCTTGGTTCTCCTCCAGGTCTCGAGGGCTAATAACCTTTATTTATATCAAATAGCGGTAAGCAAGCGAGCTTGTAGGCCTGAGGCCTGCACTAGGTCTCGAGCACTTGTCCAACTATCGTCATGTTCAAGGTCCGGCCCGTGCCTTTATGGCAACGTGACATCCGTGCAACAAGCACCACGTGGGCGGTGGCTTACTGACCATCCCCCGGCTTCCATGCAGCCAGAACTTTTTTCAACTCGTGTCAACTCTTCTGACACTCACAACAATTCTACCAAACATTCAGGCGGACACGGCAAATGCGTGCGTCACATCCCGCCCCGGACAGATCTTGCGGAGCACACAACCATCAGCCGGCAAATAATAGCATAGCAACGAAATCTGCAATTTTTCTGTGACTTGATTCTAATCAAGGAAAAAATTTCAAATAAAAACGGAACAACTGCCAATGTATCAACATCGTTCGCGTCCTGCGCTCCGTCCTGTCCAACACACCGGCGGAAAAATGTGCCGAACCGCGACCACGCACGAGTGGGACGAATGACCGCGCGACGACGAAGGCGAACGCGATCCCATAACCATTGACTTTGTCATGAACTGAAGAGATAATTTCCACAAAGCAGGAAACAGAAAACAAAAACATAAACTCTCCGATATCCAAAACACGATCCCCCGCAATAATGTGCCACAAGGTTTCCAGTCGATTCCGGAAGTCATCGTCGAACCCTCTGTCTATGACCAGCCCGTCTTGACGACTCAGTAGACCTTGCATCGACTTCGTCTGGCCGAAAATGAAGATTGAAGTCGTCCCGGCAGCATATGTATTTCGGGACCCACCACTCGAATTCCCAGAACTTGGCCGACGGCTCACGTTCGGGCGGCTTCTGAAAACCCAGAAAATCCAGTGTCTTTGTAGAACCACCTTGCCCCCCACCAGCCTTGACCATATAAAATCGCGATTCAAGGATGGGGTTAAATTTTTGATTTTGTCCATCTAGATGTAGTTTGAATCCGAATACACAAACCGGTCTGCTGACATTGCGGCGGAGTATTGCATAGGAGAGCGTGATAGGGGGGGTCGAGTATGTAATGGTCGCAATGTAGGGGGCAATGCCTTTTCGAGATATGCCGTTGAAAGGAACCCAGCTCCCATGATCAAATATGTCCTTTAGATTGATGCCAATCTTGTCTTCGACACGTGCGAGGGCGAACCGCTCGTCCACCGGGTATTTGCCAGTCCACGCGTAATGACGGGGAATCGTCTGTGGCCAGTACGCTTTGATGTAGTCGAAGTTGACATTTCCGCGACGATAATGCTCGTTGCTGATTGCATTCGGGTTCAATGTCCCGGGGCATATGCCGTAGCATCGGGGATCATCTTGCCCACCGTCACTGGGGTTTGTTTCCTCATCGTGGTCCAAATGTGTTTTCTCATCGGAGCCCAAATACGTTGCCTCATCGTGGTTTGAATACGTTGCCTCATTGTGGTTTGAATACGTTGCCTGATCGTGGTTCGAATACGTTGCCTGATCGTGGTTCGAATACGTTGCCTGATCGGGGCCCAGATCCTGATCGTGGTTCGAATACGTTGCCTCATTGTGGTTCGAAGACGTTGCCTCATCGGGGCCCAGATACGATTCCTCATTGACTTCCGGAATGTTGAAGCCGAGATTTTGTACGGATGGGATGAGGCTTTCAACGTGGTCCGAATACGTTGCCTCATCGTGGTTCAAATTCGTTTCCTCATCGAAGCCCACATACGATTCCTCACCGGAGTCCGAAACCTTGAAGCGGAGATCTTGTTCGTGTGAGACGAGGCTTTCGTCTCTTGAGACACCCTGTCGTCTGTATCGGATCCTCGAATAGGACATCTTGGTGCGGTGCGCGTGTCTAGCACAGGGCGTCGATCGTGATACAGTTGGTCGAGAAGAAGGAATCGCTTGCTGATTCGCGATGCAGTGCGACGAGAAGACAGAGTCGCTTGGTGGTGATTGGTGATCAGCGTGTCGAGAAGACAAAGTTGCTTAGCGACTCGCGATGCGGTGTGGTGAGAAGACAAAGTCGCGCGGTCATGGCACAAACCCGCGGAAAGCATAGAGTTTATATACGCGAAGAGACACCACAGCCAGGCAGCTGACCAAGAAACTGAACATGTCGTCTTCATGTCCATGCCCAGGATCAGCCCAAGTGTTCCTCGTGTGTTGGTTTACAGGGGCCAAGTACGACACCGAACATGGAATCAACATGGTGGTGTTGTGGGCGCCGAGAAGCCTTGGAGAGCACTGACTTCATTCAGCGATCTTCTGACATGCAGGCGCTTCTTCATAGCTTGTCCAGACGATTGTCGTTGTTTGTTCTTGCGACAAATTGTCATAAAGTACCCTCAGCTTCCGACGTACGCTTTTTGAACGACGGTCATTTTATACTGAACAGAACGAGTTCGACCGCTGTCATTACCTTGGTCCCTACCTAGGTAGGTTGGATTGCATGTACGTACGCGTCATGACTTTTTCTGAACTTTTCCTTTCACCCTGCCCATTCCTGCTTGCTTGAGGTGTACACCCCTTTTGTGAATGCGACCGGCGCTGGCCTTGTTTCCGATTGTGAACTCTGCGCTGCAGTGATTGTCTAGAGGTCCCTTTGTGTGTGAGCAGAGCTGTTCATCGTCTGAACACTAACGGCAAACTCAGCACGGCCCTAAAAGTAAATTCGCTTGGCACAGTGAAAGAGCGCTGATGGTGCCCAACATCCAAGGCGTAGTAGCTATGCAAGATGGCTTGTAATATTAAACAGAAGCAGCCGACTTGAAATGAGCGATTTAGCTATTCGAACGGATGCCTACCCGGTATTCACTGACGCTCAAGCAGTTCCATGTCGCTGCTTGAGATCTGAATCAAGTACTTTAAATTGGCCTTTGTTCGTCACCTTGGCCACGTAATCTAAGAGAGAATTAGCCCGGTCGAAGGTCAAACGCCAAAAAGGATGCAAAACGCCAGTGAACTGCGCGTGCTACTCTTGCGGGCCTAGAGGGCTATTCTCACAAGTGCTAAACATGTGCCTACCATTCCCAATGAATATACACATAGAGACTACCAATACAGTGTCCCTTGTGGCTCTAACACCAGTCAGTATGCCAACAAAAACGTGGGCAGATGGAGGGAACTGACGACATGGTGGCATTTCGCTCTCGAGCTTGCTTCACGGTCGTAGGGGGGATTCAAACGACTCATCGTTCGCCGGTAGGGCATTGCACGAAGCAGCATATGTTGAAAGTTCCGCGTGGCGTAAAGCGGCTGGATCCTGGCAGACGGAGTAACTCGTGTGGCAAGGCATTTGGATGGTGCGCGGTGGCCAGTGCCGAATATCGTTTCGAGATTGCGTATGGCCGCGACAAATTGGTTGCGCTCGTCATCTACGCGAGACTGCGCGGCACCGAACAATGCCATTGCACGCCTGGAGCTGTACCATCTCTTTTGAACAGTGCGAGACTGTCATGCAGCCTCCTGCTTCCCCGAGTGTTGGCATTCTTCCGGCTAGAGCTGTGGAATCGAATGGCAGATGATGACTATTCGCGCAGAGAGAGCACGTTGCAGCAGCGACATTGAATGTACAGATCAATTGATGGCGACAGCGAGTGTACATACATGCATGTAGGGCTTTGAACCAATTAGAAGGCTGCACATGTGAGTTTTGAAAGGCCCAGATGTCAAGTCGGGTGCAACGGCTGTGCCTGGGCTAGGCGAGTAAGGCCGCGGGGGGTCACCACGTGACACCGTACGTCATTAGTGGAGGTTCAAACGGGCCAGCACAACTCCCATTGATGCCGTTGCTCTTGGGCGAAGTTGCAGGCAAGCATTCCCATCAAAAGATGCTCGTCAACAACCAAGTGTTTCACTTGGCCACTTATAATGTCCCATATTCCGTCTGGGAGAATAGACTCGGTGATTATTGTCTAAATCATTTCGTCTGGCAGGTGTGTCCTTTTTCTCTGCGAGGTCAGTTCAGGAGTAGGCAGTTCAGTTCTATTTATAGGATTTCCAAGAGGGCACCCTACGTAAAAAGAGGGCTCCATAAGGCTGAGCAACTTGGTAGTACTAGTTATATTCGTTGACAAAAGTGTCCGCAAATGGACGCCTCCGCCCTTTCGGCTCAAATGAACGATTGACATTATCGACAATATTAGCTCTGGACATTTGGAGGATGCCGTTGAGTTCCACCATGGGCCTACTTTGGACGAACGGGAGCCCCAAGCACGACCAAGACCATACACGTGACAAGGACATGTGCGAAAATAATATAAAGTCAAGAGCCCACAATATATGGGTTACAGGCCAGAGAGGACTTGTGCAGACTTGATGCTCGGCCGTCTTTGGCAATGCTGCTAGAAGGGTCAGTAGACAGTTCCGGATGCGGATGCAAGACCATCATCACTCCCAAGTGGCTGGAGTCGCACGTGGCCGCTGTTCCGCATGTTTGGACTAAAGCCTCATTGGTCTGTCGTCTTCCGAAGCCTCCCTGGGAGCTATCGTGCGATATGAGCCGCGGTGAGTAAATGATGACAAACGGAAAAGCCCAGACTCGTTGGCGAGAGAGGGAAGGAGCCACCCGATGCAATAACTTAATTATGTGGCCGCCTGCAGTCCTCCTTGCTGCAGCCGCCCTGCCAACGCAAGATCCGACCAATGGGCGATTACAAATGCTGCCTGACTAATTAGCCACTTATCCCGCACCACATCTTCCCCGCGGACATGCCGACGTCGGCTCTGCAGAAAAAGTCACGGAAGTACAAGATACAAGATACCTCCTACAACCCCCGGCACAGACATTTCTGCCGCCGCTCTCGTTTTCACTCTTGAAGTTGCCGTCCATCATCGCCCTGCAACTCCATCGCCACCACAGCGAGACGCCCTCGACAGACATCATGGCCCCTCACCCAGTCTTCATCGACCCCACGGACGATTTCGCACCCGTCCCCTCGGCGGTCCTGGCGGCGGTGGCGACCCCTGCGAAGCGCAATCTTCTACTCGCCCCGCCGTCGGTGGCCGCCCACGAGGAGAAGCTGCGACAAGTCTTCACGGCCTTTGACCGCGCCAACACCGATCTCCAAATGCTCGACCGACTGTCCGCCGGCTTCGTGTCCCTGCCCCCCGCGACGTACGACCTGGTGCTCGTTCTCACCGACGCCGACGGCTCGCGGGCCGCCGAGTCCGCGCGCCTGCTGAACCGCCACCTGTTCGCCTCGCTAGTCCCCGCCATGAGGGTCGGCGGCAGGCTGCAGTTCCAGGGCGGCCAGCTCGGCGCGGCCGAGTCCAAAGAGGCCATTCTCTCGGGCCTCGTCGCCACGGACGGCGGGTTCGAGAAGCAGGAGGAGGAGGAAGTCGTCATCCCCCTGCGGTTCGGCAAGAAAAAGACGCCGGCGCCACTGCCAAAGTTTGACTTTGGCAAGCTGGACGACGACGACGACGACTTGATTGACGAGGATGACTTGCTGGACGACGAAGATCTCAAGAGACGACCTCAAGCGCGTAGGTTCCCGCGATGCGTAGCCGTCGTACTTCGTGTGAGATGCTAACCGTTAGTAGCGACCGAGTGCCAGCCCCAGAAGCGCCGCCGTCCGTGCAAGGACTGCACTTGCGGTCTGGCCGCCAAGTTCGAAGCCGAAGAGAAGGAGCGACGATCGCAGGCCAACGCCGGCCTTGAGGCTATCAAGCTTGACACAAACGACCTGAACGAGTTGGACTTTACGGTCAAGGGCAAGACGGGCTCGTGCAATAACTGCTCACTGGGGGATGCGTTCAGATGCTCCACGTGCCCGTTCATCGGGCTGCCGGCGTTTAAGCCAGGTGAGGAGGTGCGCATCCTGAACGAGGTGCAATTGTAAATGTCATGAAGAGCATGAAAAACAGCGGCAATAGCAAAGGGACTGGCATGGGTTACGAATTGGACATGAGCCTGGGAAAGACTCAGTCATGGATGTGGCGTTTGGCGTTCAACTACCTCAAAGAAGCATATACATAGACTTGATTTAGCTAATGTGTAGCCCACCAAGGACTACAAATGACATGTACCGTGTCATGTGTTGGGTTGGATCAACCGACAATAGTCGACATGAGCAGCGGCAATACAGCTGTCAATTTTCCGGCTTGACTATCCCCGTCGTGACGCATGTGTTGCATTGTTAAGGGGCAGTCGGCCCTTTGTCTACGCGCCTGATAGACGCATTATGTTGTGTGGTCTTTATGTCTCTACTTTATACCTCTATTCTTATATACATGTTTCTTAGGCCTATGAACCACAATCCCTAGTCACCGCCATTCAAGTTTGAAAGGTGCTGGTGTACCTGCACCGTTGTCTCCAATGCTGGCCATAGCGGAGAATGGCCATGGGAATCAACGCAAGCACCATACAGACAGCACCGAGTAGAGTACATCCCCAGCCGTGGCCGAGAGCCTGACTCATATGGACCGTAGCCAGCGGTAACAAGACGCAAGCCAAGCATCGAATAACAATGACGCCGCTCATCGCAGACGCCGAGTAGAGACCAAACGCATCCACAATGTATGTCATCAAGGGCACAAAGGCCAACATTGGAAACAGCCGCATCAACGCGACAGAGAGGAGCAGGAGCATGAGCGGTAATTGGTTTGCCGCACACCAGCCATACAGAGCCACCGCAAGAGGCAGCAGAACAGCGCCGATAATCGTCACTGGGAGTCGGTACTCCGGTAGGCCGATTCCATTGTTGGCCTCGCGTAGCTTGACATAGGTCTTATCCAGATACATCTTGGAAAGCATGATGCCGATAAAGGAGCCAATTCCTCGATACGAATCACAGTTAGCCTAGATTTTGCAAGGCGAAGCCAGGAGAGTGTCATAATTACCGTTTGCCAAGAAGGCTAACCCCGTTTCCGCTTCTGATAGCCCATATACCCCCTCCAAAACGCCTGGCAGAGTCACGGAAACGACGTAAAAGAGGGCGAATACCACGGAGCCAAACAGGGAAAGGCACACGAGGACCCCAGAGTCGAGCAGCAAGCGGGCAGGGCGCAAAACCGCGTCCAGCAGACACGACGAGCTCGTCTCAAAGCCCACGTCGCTTTCACCATCGTCCACAGCCTCAACCCCCGGCACGCCCAGCTTCTTCTCGTCCAAGGACCTCGTATACGTCTCCCTGAAGCAAATCAAGAAGAGGAGCCCGCAAATGCCAGCCAGCACGGCGCCTATCCGCAAAACGGCACGCCAACCCAGCGTCTGCGAGACGACTCCGCCCAAAAGCGGCCCCAGGTTACCGCCCACGAGCGACGCAAGCATGACGATGCTCATGGCCGACCCCCTCTGCTCCGAGGGGAACATGTCGCCGATAATCGCTGGGTTCAAAACATTCGACGCGACGGCCATGCCGGCCACGGCGCGGGCCGCGATGAACATGGTTGTGTTTTGCGCCAGTGCCGACATGACGACGCCCGAGAAAAACACGGCGTTGCAAGCAACGTATACGGGATACCGGCCAAACATCTCGGACAGAGGCGCGATGACGAGCGGTCCCGCCGCCTCACCCAGCTCCCATATTGTGACTAGGAGAACGGCATCCGTCCTGGTGGCATTGCCGCCGTTCAGGTCACGTATGACGGTGTTGGCGACGGGAAATATCGATACGCAGTTGAACGTGCTACATGGCCGTCGTCAGTTCCCAGCAACCGAGCAGGTTGGCGTGCGGGCGGCGGCAGATGGACCAACATTGAACGTACACTGTAAAGGCGGCAAGCGCCAGCAAGGCCACTATCCGCCATTGAAAAGACGCTGACCATTCGACGGCATCGTCTGCATCGCCATTGGCCCCAGAGTCGACGAATTTGGCGGGGAGAATAATTTGCTCACGCTCCTCCACAAGTAGGGATGCGGCTTCCTGGCGATTCGCGATCATTGTGCCCAGGCGCACAGCCATTTCTTGGCAGCGGAAATTATTAGCTGCCGCTGATTGACTGGGTTTAACTAGATTGGCCCGGGGGAACCGGGGGAATAAGAGAGGCAGCCGGCCTGTGCGGCCTCTCGCCTTCGGCAATAGTGCAGCGGTCTGCGCTGGGGTGAAACCATCCTGAGGTATACCGCGTCTGAGCCACCAGCCATCTTATCGCCCGTTATAGCCGAGCAGCGTATCAATCCAGGGCATTGGGATGCGGGTTTTCCGAGTTGGGAGAGTTGGGTTTGCCGTGATTTCCGGCAATCTACTACGACGTAAGTATATTATAGTGAGGGCGACGGCGAGACGACGGACAACTGACTAGGACTAGGGTGCGCTGGGTGGACGGAACACCGCTGCCGGCATGTCACAAGTACGTTTTGGATGCAATTTAGCCAACTATTTTGTTGCCGAATTTCGAGAGAGGTCTGCATGGCCGAGGGTGACGATCGCGGATAAGTTGTTTATCTGAAAGCGACGTGCTGATGGCAATTCGTTTAGCTCCATGTGTAACCTGAATGATCGTCGTCTCACCACCGCTGGCGTTGTTACCGAGTCGCTTACCTACAGTCACGCCGCGAAGGTTGGAGGATGACATGATCATCGCTCACATTGAAGATGCGCAGATCATTTAATGGTGTGGGTAATCTAGCTGTTTACCATGGAGGAGAAGCCTCGAGTCTGTGTCGCGACACAATGTAGCATCAGATATGAGGTCGTAATTACGCGAGACCTTTACGAAATAGCATATGAGTTTGACAATACTTACCGGCACATGTCTAACGTCCCGTTGTCACAGGCCCGATTTGTAAGGTTTCCGGTCGGCCTGAAAACGGTCCAATATAGCAGTGTTGCATAGACACGAGGTGGTTTAAAATACCCTGAAACCAGGTCACGCCGCCCATTCATGATCGGACTCGGGTTGTCTTTGCCACCTCTGGCAACTGTCGTGCAGAATGGTCGTTCCAGCTCTGCACTTGTCGACTTATTCCGTCTACTGTCTGTGTCGTCCATTTCTCCCAGCTTGAATCTGGCCCCGCCTTGGGCCATTGAAGCAAACCTTCCTTCTGCGACTATACTCTCTCAATCAGAATTGCGCGAGTTTGTTTGTGCTAATACTGTAGCCCGACGAGGTCGCGTAATTCGGGGCGCTGCGCTTGGCCTTGTTCGGTCCTTGGATGAGTGGATTCTCTTGGAGTCTTACGGTGGACTGACGGGATCTCTTGAACGCTTCGTCTATACGGGATCTGGGTAAAAGTGGTGAAGCTAGATGCAAAACTCGTTGACGGGTCGTCACAGGCCAAGACCGCCGATTCCTGACTCCGATTTGGTGAATCACCCTGTGATAAGTACTGGGGCGCCGCAGCCACCGCCCCGGCATCATCTTGCAAGGCATGCTGGCTATCCTCGGCAATTTATTGCTGGAGCGTCTCTTCCGCATCCTTCCAGCCAGTGTGCGCCGAACGATCCTCGGATCTTTGCATCTCGGGCATCTCAGGGTGGTTTGAGGCCGCTTCGTGTCGCTCGACGGCATCTTCCTGAATGACTGCCAGCGCTGTAAATGACTGCCAGCGCTTTTACAGCGGTGGCATTCGCAGCCTGAATGAAGCTATCCCGGTGTTGTTTTGCCGAGTCCCTAGCGTTCCTAAACGCAGTCGCTCCACGCCGAAAGGTGTCAATACTGCCCGTCATTTGCCATCCATCGATCTGAGTCATGTGGTACTCAGGCCGTTCTTCCGCCACGGTAGGTGCAGTGACGTGATGGGCATACAGTTTTAATGTGCCATCGTGGTAGGTTGAGCTGTACGTGTAGGCATTTCCGTCGTAGGTCGGCTCAGCCAACTTATAGTTTTGCAAGGCGTGCAAGGCTCGTGCCCCGTGTGCTCCATCGTAGCATGCCAGCTTTTCGGCGACGGAAACACTTCCACTTGGGCCTTTGGCTTCCAAGAAAAAGTTGGGTATTATTGGAACATTTGCATGTTTGGTGGGAATGACAAGCTCGTTGAGCTCACGCCTCACCACACTATGAAGGTCACTGGCTTTGGCTCCATCAAAATAGTCTGGCACCGCTTTAACTGTAGATTCATCCGTAAGTGATATGAGGTTGGTGAATTGTATATTGCTCTCGTTTGGGGTATTTGAGTCACTAGCGATCAACGGTATCACGTTACGCATTATACTACCCTCCGACTTGGTCCTGTTCTTCCGCTTAAAGTCGCGGAATACCGACTCAGGGAAACGTGAGGGCGACAGAGAGGCCCTAAAGGCCAACAACTCCTGGTGGGTTTGGTTTGAATTGTTAGGCTCTGGAGTGGAGCGGCTCTCCGGATGCTCATATCCTTCGGGATATATATTGTAGTCGATGAGATGCTGTTCGAAATTATCGTTATATGCCGAGGACTTCCTAGCCTTAGAAGTGACTGATGTCGCCGCCGTCGAGTTTGTCGGTCGACTTCGAGACGTAGAGGAGGGATTGGAGCTCATGTCTTTCTTCGGCTCAGAATACTAGATAATTACGATTAGTACTTGCAGTTACCATCTCTCTGTTGGGGTAGACTCTTACGCCTCGCAGGTGACAAAGATCTGGACCGCCGTGTCTCGCGAATCGGGCGAGATCTGTAGGATACACCTCAGGTAATATCGGCAGAGTATATGCGCTATTTCGACGGTTAAGCTCTCTTAGGGCACACGGCGTAAGCCAGATTTTTGAGAGGTTACCCCAGAATACTGGCGAGAAGTTGCTTTCTCTTTTAAGCTTGGCTTTCTTTGGGGGAGGATTACTTTGCGAGAGCTCAGGTATTTGCTGTCGCTTTCGATTCCGTGGTCTCGCCATGAGCCGTCCATGATTGAGGGATGAGAGGATGAAGGGAGAAAGGCAGGAGGTCGAAGTCACAGGTCGGGAGGTGGTGTTGGTCTGAGCTGGCACTAGATGATGCAGTCAGCGATGCATTGATTGGGGTCTGGTTGCACGCGCCGTGGTGTTTAGTTGCTTGGTCTCTCGTCCAACCACTACGCGCTCGATTCGAGGTCGACATACAACTTGGCGCAGGGTGGGGCCAATTACCCGTTCCGACCAATCCACGTACCTGCCTGTATTACTAACCCACGTGGAAGCGTGAGCGCGAGCTGCTTTGTTGCAGCCCAGGATTCACCCCTTCGATATACGGGGTAACTACTTGGCGGGCGGAAGAAAAGTCAGCTGGGAGCAGACACCCGAGCCAGAAGCCAAGTCTTTCTGAACGGATGCGGAATTCGTGCAAGACTGGGCGTTTCTGGATTAACTGCGCTGCACGAACGTGTTTTGATACGGATGACATATATTGGCATACCCTGCAAGATGAACTGGGCAGCAATCAACAGGCCTTCAATGATGAGGTACTTGTGAGGGTAACGCAGCGGGATCCCTTGATTCAGAAATTGACAAGATGGAGCAACGGGATGCATACTTTGAAGAGTGTGACGTTCGGTTTTCTGATGGCGGTTGGAACACATAGAACTTTGTCAAGTTTTCTGTGCAAGGGCTACAATTGACAAATGAAATGGAATGACATTTTTCTCGCTCGGCATAGCTGTCGTCGGCCCACGGCCTTGTTCTTCTTGCGCTACAGCTGAATGAATTCTTGCTCACGTCAAGTCTATATAACGGCAGCCGCGCCTCCGTTGGCCGCGAACGATGAGCCGTCTCCGTAGCATTGCTCTTCAGGTGGGCACCAGCGGTCATCGCCGAATGTGACTCGCGATGACTCATTGTCTGCAATACACGACTAGAGTGCCCAACGTTCTCGCTCTTGATCGTACTTTATCTGCATCCGTTTTTCGTGATTGTTGTTCTTATTAGCACAAGTCACATCCTCTGGACAGCATAAAAACGTCGCAATCCTGGGGAAATGACTGACTCGAACCAAATTTGTATCCGACCTGAAAGAGAAAGCGATGCGCAAGCAATCGATCTCGTCGTTTCAGTCGCATTCACAAACGCGGAGCATTCAGACCACAATGAGCATCACATTGTCCGAGGCCTTCGTGAGGCGAATTGTCTATCCATCTCGCTAGTCGCAGAAGACGAGGCCACGCACGCAGTTGTCGGCCATGTCGCCGTCTCACCTGTAAATATCTCGGATGGCAGTGAGGATTGGTGCGGGCTGGGACCAATTGCCGTCTTACCGCAGTATCAAGGACGTGGTGTTGGGTCGTTGCTAATGGAACGGGCGCTCGCAACCCTCCAGGCTCGCCACAGCGCTGGATGTGTTGTCTTGGGAAACCCGAAATATTATACGCGCTTTGGCTTCAGGCCAGAACCTTCTCTGCGACTACAAGGGGTGCCGCCAGAATACTTCATGGCTCTCACTTGGCGAAAGCCAACGCCTACGGGGACTGTCTCATATCACCACGCTTTTGAGCTCTCTGCATAGCTTGCATGAATTTCGAAATTTGATTCCGGAGCCAAGTACTCCGTACACGGTATAAGTACTTGTGCTGAGCGGGGTGGAATATTCATGCCGAGTGATGCCGCGGCTTCAATCACTTTCTGGTATACATAGTGAGTGACTGCAACGAGCTTCAGTTTTTAAATGGCACTTGACTGGCGCTACAATCGACAATGGCTCTTAATTTCCATACTTCCCTATAATTTCAGGGACTAAAAAACATCATTTAAGAATTTGTCAGGAAGCTTATATAGTTGGAGTGTGAATGCAGGGTCTTCAATGAGCGAATAGATAGTCGTAACCACCAATTGCCAAGCAATAACAAATATCATATGTCTGACGCGTCACGATACTCAGACAGTCTCTTTTTCTGGTCTCTTACTGTTTTTGGCTTGGTACAGCCCAATACTGTGTTATCAGATGTTACGCTTCCACGATACTCGCATCATGCTTGTAAGATTGCTTGACTGAAAAGCGAAACAAAAATCCCCTTAATAATAATTATAAACATAATGCGCCAGTGGCCGGTCGAGCTGAAACTGCCGAGAGAGAACTCCATACAACGACCGAAGCTAACAAAATGTCTGGTCCGTCCCCTGAACTTCCTCACCGGATAGGCACCGGGCATCTTATAACTTCTCTAAAGCATTTCTGGCCCACATCTAAAGCTTTATTCAGCTTAGCTGTGCCAAAAGGACGGAAGCGATTCGCACAGCAGCAACGCCAACTTTCAGGGCCGTGTCAAAATCCACAGGACAAGCTTGGGGTTGTGAGTTTAAACTGGCTTGTATACCAGTCATGTCCACGGTACAAAATGTCAAGGGCGCGAGTTGGGCGGAACCCAAGGTAACAATACCTGGAGAAATTAAGGATCTATTCCAACGTGTATGACTTCCGCAAGCCATTATTAGTGGTCATTTCCAATATCCACTTCACATTGTCAAGCAGTCCTTGCTATTATAATCCACTTCCCAGGGTCATGTAACACGTCAACGTCTTCTCAGTCCAACGCGCGCAAGGTATAGTGGGAAAGAAACATCTATCCAATATATCCCCACAACCACTGGATTTCTCTTGTATTTTATGGGTATGCCTCCAGGGCTTGAAACCTTCCAAGAACACCCTAGCAGTAAATCCCTCTATTATGTAGCAGAATCCAGATGGTTGACCCCTGACAATTGACGCAGCGTAAGGTGGCTGTGCGATCCCCGCAACGTACGTTATGACAACCCCTTCAGAAAAAATATAAAACCATTAGAAACAGGTTTTTATTGTGCGATGTACTTGATAATTTAGAAATATGCTATTCAACTCATGCAAATATATTATTCTGGACTTCTACTTCGCTCTTCAACCCAGGCATCAGCTCGCTGTTGGAATGGGCGGGGTGCCGACAAGGAACAATCCACGAATCAAGCGCCGATCTCCATCGTCTTGACTCGCAGCCGGAGCGCCAAGAACTTTGATTACATGTTTCATGTTCCTGACATTGAAGGGTTGTCTTGTTCAGCAATGCTCATGCCGCCCTTGCTAGCGTCCCGTCTGTCACTCTGCGCTCAATGCCAGATTCAGCAGGTAATATATTAGTTAAGATTAGCTTGCGAGTAAAATCATCAGATTTCGGCCAACGATCCTGGCAGTCCCATTGTTTCAGACGGAATGATTTTCCCGGGGTGACGCTGCCAGAGATGGTGAGAACTTGCCATAAAAGTTGAAGCACGCCGTGCCTCTCTCACTGATGTTGAAGTCTGTCCATCGACACATTGAAATCCTACTTGCGACACTTGTTGAAAACACTGCTCAAAATGCATCCATCATCTTTTATCGCGACTCTGGCCTTTGCAGTCGCCGCAATGGCATCACCCGCCTGCAAAATGCCTACATATGAACCAAGCACAGACCCAAACCCAAACCCAAACCCAATTCAAGACACAATTCCAAGCCCGGACTCGAATCCAAGCCCCAACCAGAATCCAAACCCCAACCCAAATCCAGACCTGAAGCCGAAGCCAGACCAGAAACCGAAGCCAGACCAGACGCCTAATCCAGAATCGAGCACAAACCTCGCGTCTGGTAAAGACATGGGTGGCACAATATACTCGTATAACCAAGAGCAGTGCATAAATGATTTTTGGACGAGCGGAGCGTGCGAGCTGAAGGCCAACTACCCGGATAGCAACCCCAACAAATTATCTTTGGTTGCGCTGCCCTCGGGCGAATTCGACAAGGCGGGGAAAAACAAGGTCTGCGGCAAGGTTATTACCATGACGTACAACGGTATTACCCAGAAGGCACTGGTTGCGGACAGGAACGTGAACGCCAAACCGTCAATCGACATGTGCACCGACGTGTGGGGGAAGTTTGGTGTGGAAGTAGCAGTCGGCAGGCTTGAGGGGGGTATCGACTGGTCAATTGCTGATGCCTAAGTGTACATGAACCCAAGAAGCAGCATTGAGGAGTGCCTGTTGTAAGAGTGAGTGATTACACACCATCATGAAGGAGACAATTATAGGTATATACAGCACTGTGTGGGCGTCTTCACAGTTGGGTGCGATATTATGATACCGAATGAGTTTCGGGATAGATGCGGTCTGGACGGATCGTCATCTTATTCAGTTGTATATTATTTATAACCAATTTGCCAGTAGCCTACAGATACCTTTTACACTTTATACCATATTGATATTGGTAGTTGACGTTTGGAATCAGCCACTCCTCTTGATCATATAATCTGTGGCATGACTCTGAATTGCATTATTTGGCATCAACTCTGCCAGAAAATTCCTATCTGGCCCATTTTCTGGCATCTACTTCAGCAAATGTATTAATTTTGACCATAAAAGTAAATAATACAGGCCCTTGCAACAGGAATGTGTTAACTGGAACTTGCAAGTGTAGCATCCTGATACAGGGTAGGAATAGAGCGGCGATTTCACGCCTGCAGTATGGATTTTATATCTGCGTATCAAATGCTTTACTAGTTCCGTATCCAAGTTTACCCAGGCTAAGGGTATTAATATGCACTATGTCTTGCAAATCACTGCCTAGAAAAAATGAGGCACTCACAATCCCCTACTAAAATAGCAGAATGATGCGAAAACAAATACATACATGTATACTTTCTTAGCTACTCTGGCTCCCAGATGGTATTGTAGTTGACGTTATCCTGGCGCCCCGTAAATTCACAAGGCGAGCGCCAGCGCAATACGACTCCCGACCAAGCGATGCTTCAAATTCCGCTATTAGCAGCTTCCTCAACCGTTATCAAGCCAGCGGCAATTTTCTTGCAGGTTTCTAGGATGCTATTCCAATCACGAAAAGCCACAAAAGGGACCCCCTCTCTCTCGCACCAAACGACAAGTTCTATAATGAGTTAGGCCCATGACAACACTTACTCATACGGCGCAGCAGCAAAGGCTTACCTTTGTCGGCTTTTGCAAAGAGAAGATCTGTTTCCTTGGCTGCGGAAAGGTCAGAAACGCCGTCACCGGCGTAAAAAAGAATCGGCCGGTCAGATAGAGAAGAATATTTGCGGATTTCGAGCGACTTGTCGTGGCCATAAGGACTATATTCTACTTACCATGTATATCCACAGTCACGGCAATGGCGTCTCCCAGACAGACCTTTCGTCATGGAAATCAATCTGCCACCCGCCCTTCTCATCAATGCTCTTCCCATCGCGAGGTACCACATTATTACCAATAATCTGGATATCCCAACCTGGTCCGAGGAGTGAATCTAGTAGCGTTCGGATCATCGGTACGGTTCCACTGCTGAGGATGACGATGGGAATGTGGTTTTCCCGAGCCCAGTCGTAAAACCCTTTGAAACCAGGGTCGAGCTTGATATTCTGGCGCAAAAGATCAAGACACTCATTATAAGGGGTCGTGATGCTATCAAACATCTCGAGGAAGCTGTTGCGGAAGCTCATCCGGTTGGCCATCACTTCGGTATAGAGCTGCTGACGACGCTCGGGGCCGAAACCGAGATTGTCCACGAGATAGTCATTGCAGTCATCCGTGGTAATAGTGCCGTCAAAGTCGGTGAAAAAAACAAACTTTGGGCTGTTGGTGAATGCAGGAACATGGGAAGTGCTCATGATGATTTGGTGAAGTCTACAACAATCAGGGAAGGAGAAATGGAAGAAATATCAAGGTTGTGTGACAGAAAGATGGCGACATGCAGCTGTTAAATAAGCCCTGTTGCAATCCTGTTCCGTGAGATGGGAAATGATATCATTCTTCCATGAGCACCTTTGTGAATTAACATCTTCTGGTGTACGCAACACCGTCCTAATAGCCCATACACTAGTTCAGGCTGTACGCTTAGTGATGGTATCAGCATCAAACTATGACTCTTCGCAACTTATCACGCCATTTGTGCCAAGACTTGGCCAATGAGTCACTTTGTCTTTATGCTGCTAGCTACTGTGCCGTATGCCCACTTTTGAGGAGCAGACATTTGGTGTTCCTCGCGAAAACGCGTAATATTTAGTCTTCTTATTTTATGCCTCAAGAATTAAGTTATTTGCTATGGATACTATTACATTATAGTAACAAATAGCAGTGACTTGTGTGTCGTCACCAGTGACCATAACCTCCTGGCATTAAACGTTTAGTGGCGGCGGTTTGCATGGGCATAATTAATGGCCGTGTCCGCTTTCTTGGTGGAGATGGGTGGCTATCTTCACTGGGAGATACTGAATAAGATGGCGAGCTCAGGGGCGATCAAGAACCGGACTCTTTACTGGCCTTACTATGAAGCAAATAAGAGCAAGTTATCACCAAGCTGTTTGCGAATGTGGGGAAGCAATAAAAGTACGACCGGGTTCTCAAGCAGGTAAGGACTACATCTACACAAAACAGCTTGATGTCGTCGGAAGAACGACATATCGAGGTTGCGTTGGTGGATTTGCCGTTAAATATTGTTACCCGATCTTTGACAATTCCACTCAATGTTTTTGCAATAGCTGCATGATAATCTGCTTGTAGCACACTAGTTCTCGTTTTAAATAACTCGTGGATAGCTTATTAAGTATGCTAACCACCTGTAGCGTATATACTATTGTTGGTTGCTCTTTCTATACGTATGTACTCTTATCGATCCGGTAGCTGAAGAGTGCGATTAATATCATTCCCTAGACTACTTTACTCAGCAGTGGATGATAATACCCACTATTTATCGCTTTTCAGGTTAAGATTATATATTCGGGGTACTTATTTCCTGCCTCATCACATCGCGAAAAGACTAGGAGACTTGTAAACCGGAGTCGAAGCTGAATGAGAACCCCAGCGCCATATCCCCCTCCAAAACCCAGGGCTTATTCCTAATACTGTAATCAGCCTTAATCTTTAAAACAGATAGCAAAAGCTAGTAATAGCAGTTCCCAGTCAAATCCCCCCGACCGCCAGCTGAGAAGAGACTCATAAGTGTGCTCTGTTGGGCCCCCCTATCTCTGCAGCCCCAACACATCTCTTGTGAGAACATGCGTAAACTGGCAGAAAGAAAAGGCCAGCCATCTTTATTATACAATGTTTGAAATAGTAAAAAGGCTCAATCACTTTAACCGGGAACTATTTGCCGCTGATATCTCATTACTTAGTCACTATATAATAGAGAGGCCGTCACTTTCCATGACGCCTCTCCTAGCAATACCGTTCCTATATCTAAACGAAATTTATCTGGAACTATTGCGCTATGTTCGGTGTGCAAGATACTGTGTTATCATATTTTCTTACGTAAGTCGCCATTACTTCTAGGCGAGCAAGGCCAGGGTGTGATTCGGGGCTGAGTATGTTCACACCGACACACACCAAATCCGTCTATTTTATACATTAACTATGGAGTTGTCTCAGCTCGGCGGTGTAATAACTCCCTCCTATCATTTAATGTATTATACGTCAGCGCAGGAACAAGTATATTATGCATATACACGAATTTCTCGTTCACGTATTGTGCACGGCTTGGAGTATAATGTGACAGGTCGCACACATCGTGCTTCCACATACCCTTATTAGTCTTTTTGTGCATTAAGTGGAACGCTGCCGTCCCGAAGTGCCTATAATGAGGCTGAATAATTCCGCCAATCGGCATGACTAGTAACCAGAGGATATTCTCCCCATGTAGTCAGATTTGAACGCCGTACTAAAATCTCACACGACGGCAGCGCGCACGACACGGATGATAGGTGGGATATAGGTGAAATGCTACAGGCCAGTGATGAAACTGCATGGGTATCTTGATATCCGATATCCAAGACATCTTGGGTCCAAAATTCGACTCTGGTAGAGGTATTGTATGTAAACTCGTGTCAGACTTTAGACTATTATTGCCGTGTGGCATCAGCTTCACAGGCAGGTGGGAACCTCCATCTTACTAGAGAATAAAATTATATATTACGAGACATACCATCGGGTCACTTCATTGTCCATTCTTTGCACACAACTACAGTCCATTCCACGACTCTGAAATAAAGAGCACGACTTAAGCCTGGTTTACCTATTCCGCAGGTATTCAATACGCTCTCAGTGCGTTTCCAACATTTTCCCTCTTCTTCCACATTTCACCACATGTACTCATCACAGCCCTAATCCGGCAGTATCAAGCTATGCGTGCACTTGCTCTATTTGACGTTGCTTGGCGTGTCTAACAATGTTGAATACTAACTTACACCATCCAACAGGCCAATATGATGTTCAACCTCCCAAGAACGGCTCTAGCAGTCTTGCTCGCCTACAGTTTCGGTTCCGGCACTTCTGCACTCGCCATTCCCGATGACGCTAGCGAAGTTGCTTCCGGTTTGGTACCGGCAGGAGAGCTAACAGCACGCGCTTGCTCTGCCCGTTGCTATGTCAAGGTTGATGGAGAGTTTAAAAGAAACGGCTGCGATTTAGGCCCGGTTAGCTATGGGGTCGTGTCCAATCTTGCAAACTCGCAGCTGCATTCGGTTCATGGAAGCATTCGACACAACACCCAGGCCACCCCTGGTGGAGGAAGCGCCAACCTCAACGCTGAGAGGGTCAAAATCACCGCTCAGGGTGATATTACCATTACAGTTCATAACAACTTTGCTAGAAACTGTGCTGCTCTGCTCAACATTGTCGACCAAAGTTTCAGTGGCAACACTGTCGAGGTATACGTTGGTCCTTAGTATCGCGGGCTATATCCGGTTTGCGTGGACTCTGTTCTTCTAGGCTGGACTGTTAGCACTGGAATTGGATCATGTTCGTGTATTTAGATTGATTTCGCTTCAGTTGCCACTGGGAACCTTGAATGCGCAAGTCTCTGCCTCGCCGGGAGCTTGCTCATTCTGCTTGCCATTTATGTAGTCAACACAAAGGCGGCTGCTTGTTGAATAAATTCTCGTGTTGACTCTTACATTTTTGAACCTCTCTTTGAATGAGCTTGCAAGGACAAAGCCCCTTTGAGCCACTGTGCTGCCAATACGGTGTTACGGATGTTCTGCAATTTCCACCTTCTCAGCCACCTACATATTGACAACATTCTGCCAGCTGACCCAGCCTGTGTCACAAGGCACAATCGTTCGAATATCTGTCTACAACGGGCAACTAAACGCGTAGCGGTGGGCTTTTAAACACCCAAGAACCGCCAGTCCTTGGATACGCCTGCTGTGACAAGGGCTATAATTATAGGGCTTGGAACAATGTTCGATATTCAGCTAATAATTCGCTTTGATATCAAAGGTCCTTGGTTTTCCTCAAGGCCTCGAGGGGCAGATGACCCTTATTTATATCAAGAGGCGGTCAAAGGGCTGCCCTGGGTGCCTGAGGCCCCCGTTAGGTCTCGAGCCCTTGTGTAACTATCGTCATGTTCAAGGTACGGCCCGTGCCTTTATGGCAACGTGACATCCGTGTAACACCTGCAGTAGTGCCTAGTCGCATAGAATCTCCTCGAGTCTATGTATCTGCCACGTCACGTTAGAACGGTCGTGTGCTTCCCGATGAGCTACTGGCGGGGTACTACCAATTTTATTTAGAATCTATAGCCTGCCTCTATCTGCTACACGTCCCGGGGAGGCTAAGCGCAGGCGTTTCCCTAGCGACATTGACATGATGACCCGGCTATCTTCATTCAAATCTGCCTTTGTATGTGATATAGTGGCAAGTTTCGTTTCGCTATGCGGCCTTAGGCTGTGTTGGCAGAGACGTAAGGCGTCGCGGATGCCTCGGGGGAGGAAAGAAGCGCGTCAAACTCAGCCGGCCTGACCGACGAGGGTGGTAGGTTCCGGGATTCAAAGCACTCCTTCGCGCTGCTGAAATTCTCATTGTGCAGCTTAAAGAACTGCTCGTGGCAGTACTCGAGCGTCCCAACCCAGACTTCAGACGTGTTCGATAATTCGGTTCTCCAAGGCCAGCCACAATCTTTATAGACATTGCCACGCAGCTTGAACGGCTTCTTGGGGGCATCCTGTCGTGCTCCCAGTCGCCCAGCAAGAGAAAGGCATGAGAGCAGAGGCAATACAAGTGAAAGCTGCGCTATCGTTTGAGTTGAGAAATAGCGTAGAGAGATCTGTGGTGCAAGGCGCGTAATGAAAAGCAGAGTGTATCCGTGATGGAGGCTGAAGCAATATGGTGCGTGGTATGTCGTGGACTTTTATGTCCTTGTTCTTGCTCGCTCAACAAGTGTGGAAAGGGTAGAATGCCTCCGCACCATATTGCTACATGAAGAGAAATCTGCCGCAAGCTGACATGGATTGTTTTCAGGGTCCCTTGCCTGAGAGCATTCGTTGTCCATTTTCCACATCGACGCTGTTTTGACCGACTCGGCTACTCCGTATTTAGCCAAGACTTCCATGCATGAATCGATTCCCACCGTCTTGGTCATGGCAATTGACTCCATCGGAGAGAATCTTGGCATAATAATGAAATTCATCATATATTTATAATATACGGAGTACATTCCCGACAAACCAACTTTTGACACCTATATTTAGAGATGCCGCCAGCTATTTGGAGGTAGAGACTGACGCCGTACAAGGATGTCGAACCACAAGTTGGACACAAGCCATGAATTCTACTCCATGGCCATAAGTGGCCTGATAAGAGAAAAAACAAAGTTTATCAAGTTAATGAAAAAGAGGCCTAAATTGTCTTGCAAGACGAGTACAGTCCACCCCTGATATTATTCTTCATGTGTGATTGGACAGGGAGGCTATTAAGCAATATACCAGGCATAATTTCATGGTAAGAGAGTGGAACCTTCAAGTACCTAAGACTTTTATAATAGTTGTTAGTAAGTTGAAGTCTTTATTACAATTCTTATAATTTGTCCTAACCCCTTATAACCTAAAATATATAAATTATAAATAGTATTAGCCCTTACTAATAGCTACCTTGTAAGGTTATATATAAGGGTAATAATAAGCGAGTAATAATATATATCATAACAACTTATCGAATAAGAGACTTGAATAAAAACTTGAGGTCTCTTTTATCCCTGCACAGTCTTAAAACAACCCCAGGCCTCTTCGCTTTTCGCACCTGACTAAACATTCAGGGGTCCTGTTGCATTACACTTGACGCTTATTATCATGCGGTATTGGAGCATGTACGGAGTATGGCCTGTGCTAATCCATAGGATATTGCATTGACTATACAGAAGATGGCCAATTAGCGCATCGAGGGCATATAACCTCGCGATAAACCCATCGCATATCCCCTCCTCCTCGGCGCTGCATACATATGTACAATCGGAGACAAATGTCAAATATAGGTGTGCTATAGCATTATAATGTAACGACATCTGAAGTGAATTTTCTTTAGTAAGCCGACAATAGGGACGTACATCTAGTAACCGCCTGGAATCACTACACGGGTGACCTAGACACTTACAGATGATAACAACTATAGTGAGTCTTGCCGTGGAATAGAACCCAACCCCGGTACAGTAGTATAAAGGTAAACAAAGATGAGGTCTTATAGTAGCCCACCGCTGACAGGACATGAGGGCCACTGATAGCAAAATCCGCTCCTCCCGTTGAGCTCTCCGACAACCGCCGGCACCTTGAGGATATTCTCGCGACGGACGTCTCGACGGCGAGATACTCACGGTCAATAAGACCGGACGTCACAACGGCCTGAGACATTGCCAGGCCAGCCAGTCAACCGCATGCATTCTCCACAGTTGGAACATGCCACAAATGAGGCAGATGAGGATACGAGGATTGCGTGGTCCTGGGGAAACATAAAAAAATACAAGTCATCTGTCCTCCCAATCATGCATTGATCCCACAGTGTAACTTTGAGCAGACGCGTGGTCAACCGAGTATCGCTCACGCTGATTTCGTCTCTTCTTATTTCGTCCATGCCTCACCGTCTTGCTGAAGCTCACCCGCCTCAAGCCCGACGGAGCTCAAAGGGCAGCAAAAGTCAACAATACCTCAGGAAGAGGGTTGGTAATGCGGTGGGTAATTTGGGCTCGTCAGGACGTCTGGTTCAGTGCACGTCACATCCGTTATACAAGTGGCATTTGGTATTGACCCGTTTGCAGACGAGCAATTCTGCGGCTCGGGCACCACCGCGTATACCGATCACTGATCTGCTTAACTGTCAAGTACTTGACACCTAGACGCACCTGAGGTCTATCATTCATTCTTTCCCCTTTGCCATGCCCTTTGCTTGCTAGACATTTTCTTTGCCACGTCGCGCTACCTATAATAGACTCGCAGGATACAGAACAGTATACGAGGGAGTCACGGAGTGGAATGCCGTGTTTTGACTTGACAGAGGCAAAGTCCTAGGTGCAACTCTGGCGGGGACGGAACTGTCCTGTCCGAGGAGACCAAAGAAGCTTTGGCAAGTGAAATGCTGGGGACTTGCGGACATGGGGCTACATGGATGTCCCTGTCCCGTACTTTATTGCAAGGCGAGAAACAAACACTATTAGCAAAAAAAGAACAGCCGCCCCCGGGTAAAGTCGTCCCTGTATAGATGGAAGCAAAAACGTGATGAGAATTGGGGCTGGTTGTATGGTGCAAATAGGGTACGAGTACGCGGAGCACCAGTTTCTGGGAAATCATATTTCTCTCAAGTATATGAACCCCAAGAGCGTGACAGACCCTACGCCTAATAGGATTTAAGTAGCAAAGAAAGGGGCTAACCTTGTTCTCATCAAACTTGGCGAGGGCGGTGATGCCTTGAGTCTTGGACGTGGAGAAATTTCTGCGTCGACAGGAGACTTTTACGGAACCGAGGATACCATTAATAACGGGAAATTGGACAGAAAGAGAGGGACTCATCAGAATACTACAAGGACGGCACAGGCCTGATAAGAGTGCGTGTCATCAACAAGCTAATCGAAGTTAAGCACTTTCAAAAATACAGTCAAATCCTTCTCATCAACTAGCATCATTTCGGAGACGACGCCCGGACGGCCTGCACCACCAGCCATTCAGCAGCCAGTAGTTAATCGGACCAAAGAAAGTGGATGATTGACCGTCTTGTCGAGGCATATGCCATCAACGCATTCGCCAGCCACCTTCGCATGCAACGTCGTGTGTTTCACAGTGGTTTTCCCTGGGTACGCGACACTCTTTGGAATGTACTGCGTCTCCGAATCCAGGTTTCGTTTGCTCGTGTCTGCGCAAAGATTTGGCCAACAGGATTGACAGTTTAGAAGCCTGACACGTCACGGAGCACTGTCGCTGACTCGCTACTCTCTCTGCAAATCAGAAGGCGATGTATTGGTTTACACGTCATATTTCTGATTAGATACAGCTGGACGTGACCAGGCTGAACTGAGCGCGCAATACACGTCTCAGTCGAGTCACGGCAATGCAGCGGCGCGACGTAGCAACACCTTACCCAGGACGTGGACCAAAGTTCACATAATAGTAAACGCCTTGGGCCTCTTGGAACTATCTGGTTCGTCCGAGACCAGTCGGCTTTATTGGCTGCCTCTGAAGTGACGTATATAAAGAAATCTTCCAACTTGGAAACCGGAAACGGCACTCTTAGACGCATGGTTTTATCTGATCCGCAGGGAAAGAATTGATTGTTGCATGGTACGGAGTATATTACGGGGTATCAAGCCTGATCAACAGTGGCCTCTGGCTTGGCCATGTTTTGTGACACCAGACACTGATACATCTGCACGACTTGACTCTGTAAGTGCGGGGTTTCAATAAATCTTAAAGTCAATAGGAGTGAGGGGGTGGTGGTTACACTCGATTACATCGCGGACAATGCGCGTAGCGATTGACAAGTTAGGCAGAAAGCTGGTAAGACAAACAATACGAGTAACAGCACGGTTGGAAAGCGTTGTTGGAGGCAACAGTGTCTGCTCTCCCCCCGGAATATCACACATCCTTCTGTCGTAAACGTGTTTCGTCTTGTCGTGTATCCCAACGGCAGCATCATATGGTGCTGCAGACGACTTGTCATACGGAAAGGTAGCACATAGACTGAATGCAGTCAAAGGAGCATAACGCAGCCACGACGGACTGCATTGGTAGAGAATATGCATGCTGACGGACTATAAACGAGTCACAAGGTCATATCAAGCCTCCAAGGATGAAAGCCCAAGGCAGCTATGAGGTAAATGCCTTAATCATAATAGCTTAGGTTACACACGCCTGGTTTATAATGTATATATACGGGCTCTAGATGAAGGTTCTAGATTAACTTGTTTAAGAACCTTTGAAATCCAAAAAAAAAAAAAAAACTATTCGATTAAATTGAAGTTATTAACAAGCCCTCATTTGAAGCCCTGCCACACGACTGCAAGCCGGAGCTTCTGCAGTCTCCTGACTCGGCACTGCATACTGCATAATATCACGTCTTGTTCGTGTGATACAAGGCTTGCAACGGTACATTGACTGACCTAACTGAAACAAAGAATGTCGTGTTGGGCAAAGCCCATCTCCAGCCAGGGTAAGCATGTGAGAACAGAAGGGGATGACGTGTAAATAATGAGTAGCCATGGTCACAAAAGGTTGTAGTTTGCCCATGCTGCAGGCTTATGAGAGGCTTTTGAAAATGACAAACCATATGACAGCAGCAAGACATGCAGCAATACTTCGTACTTGGTACGGAAATATCTATTAGGCAAGACCATTGGCTGTCGGCCTGAGATATCCAACGCCATATCTCGCGGTCTAGACAGTCCGACCTGGATACGCCTAGATTCTATAAAAGCTTGCTTTCTACCCGCCACGTCTCTACAAATCTCAACACAACTCCACGCTTCTACATCAACTCAAATCTCCTTGCAATCAATTACCCAAACCTTGCACCAGACCTTGCACCAGACCCAATCATGGCCGCCCCAACGTACTTCTCCGGTTTGTTCTGCCGTCTTTTTCCATATACGCGTCCGTGCCGTTTCTAACATGGATTCCAGGAACCGTCGTCAAGATTGGCGGCAACGTCGCAAAGGGCCATTACACGGTTCAACAAGAGCCTATCCACCATTTCTTCCCGACAGGAAGACACGGCCACCGATCCGAAAACAAGGTCGAGATTGACTTTTCCATTGGACCTGTTAGCGTATGGCAGCCCTACCAAACTTTCTCTTGTCCGTCATGACCTAACAACGGGCCAACACATGATAGGTAAAAGGCTATATTGATATCGCAGCCGAAGAATTGGTGATCAGTGTCTCTGTTGCCGGAATCCCTTTCGGAACATTCACGGGGAGTCTGAAGACGGGCATCACTATTGATATAAACTTGCTCCTTATAAGGGGGACTTTGAGGTTCTACGTGAAGGATAGTACACTCTACTTGGACGTCGACGTCAAGTTCATCTGGGATGGAGAATTCAAGAAGGACGAAATACCCATCATCCATTTTTAGTGAGCTCGCAGCAGATGCGACAATGTTTTGGACCGCCCCCGCTCACAATTTGACTCTGCGGCCGCGGCTGGCCAGCGGGAAGATCTTGTCGTGATGAAGTCATTCATTCAAAGGCAACGTTACTTTTATACTGCTGCCTCTAAGCAGCGGTGTGTCAAAGGGTATTTGCTTTCTATATCATTCCGCTCCTTACGTAGAAAATCAAGTCTCTCGTTTGATCAAGTTGTCGAAACAATTGTTCCGTGCGACGTGTACTTTATGCTTCAACAAGCGAGTCAAATTCATTCTGCTGGCAGTGGGCAGCTTCCATGGGCAACTTTGAAGGCAAATGCCTGATTTTGGGACGCAGGGATAAGCATAGACTCGCGTCGGTCCATTTGAGAAGCATGCGAATTCTCCACATATATATTGACCCGATACATACGGCATCAATCGAATTATTCGCAGCCGCAACAGCAAATGTCCCCCGAGTAGTTCCAACTACCCTAGTACTAGCCAAAACTATTCATTTCTTCATCCCGAGTCAGAGCAGTCTAGTTTTTTATTTCCCTCAAGAACCTCCTGAAGCAGACACACATCCAGTGTAATTTTTGCAGGTTTGCTTCACAGAAGAAGGTGTAGGTTTGAGTTCTGCTCCTGACATGATGCTTCTCCTCGGATGTCCGGGGTGCGCTGGAAATAAAACACAGGAGGGGTAGAGGAGATGATGGAAACAAGACCAAGACGTGCCCATGGCTGATGTTTACATGGAGGCCACGTAGCAAAATGTCGGCACGGGCCGTCCCTTGAACCTGGCGATAGTTACACAAGGGCTTGGGACCTGGTTGAGGCCTTGGGCCCAGGCTCGCTTGCTCACCGCTTCTTTGTATAAATAAGGGGTCGTCTGCCTTCCTGTACCATATCAAAGCGAACAGACTCTTGCCCTGATACGTGTATTGTCACAGTTGCGCATGTGCCTGTCAAGTGTGACGACATCACGTATTCTGTTAACACGGAACGGGTCCCCTTCGAAGCTTTAACAGCGGGATCCCGCAAACGTCGTCTCGCGCGTACGAAACGCTAGACGACCCGCAAGAGATGTTTGGCGTGGTATGTGTGCTTTTATTGCTACGAGCTGAAAAGATGTATACAAGACGAGCTGGCGTCACAGGGGCAGTTTCGACGCACAGCCCAAACAGGCTCGGCTAGGTACCGTAGGAAGACAGTCCCGACTAAATGGGTGTATACATGACAAGCCTTGCTGCAAAAATGTCAGCCTGGCTTGGATGTCCAGGTGGAAACAAAGCCAAGAATGTCCAAGGGTTGAATTGCTCTATATATGCCGCAAAGAAGAGGCGATGCAATAACAAAGGAGGCGCGAGACGTGCAACAAAGGGAATATCGAGGCATTGTTCGCCAGTGCTCACGCCAGAAAAAAGTACAAAAGGATGACCTGCGTCCCTCACCGGTTTCAGATGCTCAACTGCATGCCTACAGGTTCATGCGATATTTGAGTAGACTTTGGTCACCATCTGCTTGTCCACGACGTTCAAGACTCTCTCGCCATGCAAAGTCCGGATCGCACGGAACATGATGCCAAGGACCATGTCTCCCTCCGAGACGACCGTTGCCCTACCATCGCTGAACACGCAACACAGTGCAACTCTCTCTTTCATAAATGCATGCTGATGTCAGGAATCGTGCCCTGGCCTTTCGTCATCAATGACCAGCGGGCACGCTTTTTAGTTTGGGTAGGAGACCTGGATGTTCATGGACCGCCAAATGCTTCGTTGGACTACAAACTCCGATTCAGTCCCAACATGGTGGAGCGTATACATGGCCACCTGAAGGCTATTTGTTATGGCTTGACATTATGTAAGTGCCTGTCGTGCCAGTTTCGGATGGAAAAAACGTCAAGGATTTCATATTAATGGGAATCTCGGCAATAGTAGAGCCAATTAACGACCGGCCACAAGGCCCGGCAAGGAAAAGAAGACGCATATCAGAACACGGCGATTCGCAAGCCACGAGGGGAGCCGACGACGATGCAAGCGACTCGAACAGTGACATGGTCCAGAATATGTCAATAATTAGGAATGTAATCGGCGAAGAAGTGACACGGCTCCTTCGTCTATCTCGTAGTATTCGAAATTCGGCAGAAGCCGGCCGGGCTCTTGAAATGGACAGATACACAGATGATGAAGATGCATTAAACACCATGACCGAGTTGTGTCACTACACGGAATGCTACATTCGTCTTCGATTTCCAAGGGCTCCGGATTTGCTTCGCTCAGCATTAGTCGAGGCTAGTGCGTGGCGACTTGGACGACTGCTTCATCGACAACGCCATCCAAGGCGTATCGACTTGACTGTTGAGAATCCACAAACTACCCCAACTGATGCTCAACCAGCCGAGACAGAAGAGAGTGCTCCAGGCGTGCCACCAGAGCGTGCGACCATCAACGAAACATCAAGACCAGCGAGCGCTCCGCCAGTGCTAGTAACGAATGAAACTGTTGCCAGAGCTTCATCCGCCGAACCCGCCGCCGAGGTTCCTCGAGCTTCATCTACCATCTTCGACAAGATCTCGGCGTTTCCTCCAAAACCTCCGACAAACGAGTGTCCATACTGCGGCGTCGTCATCGAGTTTGAGACAACTGCGGAGTGGCAGTAAGCAGACCATTATTCTCGTGATAGTATACCATCTAATTTGACCTTAGCAATCATGTCATGGACGACCTAGAGCCTTTCATTTGTGTTTTCGCGCCGTGCCTAGAGGCTTGTCAACACGGAAACGGCCCGCCAAAATTTGGAACGATAGACGCTTGGATCAGCCACATGCAGGACGCCCACTCAGATACATGGGTATGCCTCGTCCCTCGTCACGATATCACCGTGTTTCATCGGGAGATCGAGTATCGGCAGCATGTCATCAACCAGCATGCCGTGCCTGAAGAGCATGTCGCGACTATCACCAACGCAGCGCGAAGACCAATCATTGCTAAGAAGCTGGAGGGCTCCCCGTTTGGTGACGCTTTTCAACACCCGGAGGGAGGCCAATCGAGTGACGTCTTCTCGAGCAAAGCTCTGGAGATGCATGTTGCCGCTGATATGTTACACGTTGCTTTACTTACACTGCAAAAACTGCCCGACGAGGCTGACGGTAACTCTGAGGAGGTCGATGGCAACCAAACACGGCTAGGTAGATTGGCAAGATTGCTTCAATTGATTCATCGTGTACTGGAGGACGAAGGTTATGACTTGTAGGACGTCGTTAAGGCAGCAAGTGGCATTTTGGGCCATCGATGGCATGACTTGAGATGCACACGGTTATCACTGGCAACGGGGGATGACGCAGATAAAGACGCATATCCCACGCCCTTCTCGCCACATCTCGGAGCACAGGAGCTGAAGCGCAGATCGACTCGGCAAATTGGAGAGCAACTGCGTATATGCGCCACGCGTACTTTGAACACGACTGGCAGAACTGGTCTGCAACTAGCGGCGACGCAATAGCTTGTCAAGCTTGGCAGTGAATGCTTATCAAGGGGGTAGTTTCATGGACGCGAGGCCATTGTCAAGCTGACAAGTCGCATATGCTCTTATTGTGCCGCCATATTATTGACAAGCAGCGCACTACCACATGACAGAAATATGGGACATGATGCGGCATGATAGCCTCGTGGACCATCCACACGTCGGGAGGAGTTGGTATAATTGATATCACAAAAGATTGGTCCCGACTGTGAGACGTTTACATGACTAAACACAAAGGGACTCTTGGTCGCAAGTATGGCAGACAAAATGCCTTGTTTCATTAATTACCCATATTCCAAGCAAGACCTTATTCCCCATAGATCGCCATATCTCTTGCCCGCATATCAAATCGTGTTAAGCCATCCATATTATCTGCATATCGCCGCTTCTGATCGTCGCCCCATCACCGGAAAAGTAGGACTGCTGAGCAGCATCTGACGAGGGTTAGATAAGAGCAAAAAAGGGACATGGAAAGTAGAGAATCTCACATCCATAGCACGCTTGCTTTACCTCGAGACTTGCATCTCTCGCCGCCTCGCAAAACGCTACTTATACCCTCGTTCACAGAGACGGATTTCTGCTTCTGTCATTGGTTCAGGAGCAAAGAGAGTGTATTGATCAAATCGCATCTAATAAGGGTGAGACGGGCGCCACAAACAAAAGGACACGGGGGAAAGATAAACACACCTCAACAAAGTATTGATCGCCATGCTTGTCGTGAAGGAATTTCTCCAACGTGGTCGCCATTAATGTCGAGGGAAGACGCTGTTCAACCCATTCCGGGTTTCGCTTGGCTTCGGCAGGCTTCGCCGCCTGGTCTTGGGCCGGCAAGCGCTGCGGTTTAACCCATTCCCAAAAACTTCGTTTGGCTTTGGGGGGGTTGGCCGCCTGGCCTTGGGCCGAAAGTGGCTGCTGTTCAATCCATTCTGGTTTTCGCTTGGCTTCAAGGGGCTTCATCGCCTGGTCTTGCGTCGAAGGGCGCTGCTGTTTAATCCATTCTGGTTTTTGCTCGGCTTCAGGGGGCTTCATCACCTGGTCTTGGACCGAGGGGAAATGCTGTTTAATCCATTCCCGTGTTCGCTCGACTTTAAAGGCCTTCGTCACCCGGCCTTGGGCCGAAAGGAGACGCCAAAGCCGTTTTTTATTTGGGCCTTTCGGCGTAGAGCCATGCTCACCAGCTGACGAAGAGCTGGGGTGGCTACTGGATGATGAAAGAGTTAGAAATACCGTGCGCAAAGGGTCTAACAAGATAGCTTGCTTCATGCTTACCTTGCCGACATTTTGTGTTTATCCACCAACCGAGAAGTTTGTTTGGGTGTGAGGATGGATGTTGGACAACAGATGTTGAAGGATGGAGAGGAGGGAGGATCAAGCGAGGCGGGAGCGTCGCTATTTATGCCAGCGAATTAGTCAGTACGAGGAAAGAACATTTGAACACTCGAGATGTGAAGACTGAACTCGAAGCGCTCCAGTTCGTGAGGCCGGATGGCGCAGAGACAGCCCGGGATGAGTGCAGTCCATGTTCGGTCTCTGATCGCTACGGATGCCGTTCATGCTTCGCCGCGCAAATACAGGTCATATGCAGGAAAATCACCCGACACCTTGTGTCACTGCTTGTAGTATGCACGAGTGGTAGTTGCAATACGATGCACTGCATGCAAGTTGGTGTAACCCCCGGGCATAATGCTATTCTTCCTTTCAATGTTGTTCTCTTTTAGAGGCACGGGACGTTGACGGCTCGGGCCGTTGGAAGTTGAACACGGAACATGCCTGGCGCTAGTCTGAGTCGGGACACTGTCAACTGCTACATATTGAGTTCTACCAGTTGACCTGTGAATCTTTACTTGTTTATGGCCGCTGCGGTGCTTCATTGTGCGATTTGTACGGCCCAAGGTTTTTGGCCAACACATGGTACGCAAAGCCGTGAATACCGCCGCATGGAAAGAACACGGTACAGCCAACGAGCAGTCTCGTGGCCAGCGCTTGCGTAGACCAACTTACGCGGCATTCATGTGAAATCTGCCTGTTCCCCGAATCTACATACTCTGTTCAATTCGAGGCCCATGCAAGCCGGCGGTGGCACGTGGTACATGTACGTGTATATTGGAGCCTCGCCTTTGTTCACTGGCACCTGTGCCTGCTTTCTTTCTGTCACATTCCATCCATGAGTGGTAACACTGCAGTTCCATGAGCAGCACTGCGGATAATTTTGACGGGACCCATATTCGTTGACCTTTCTTGATTCCTCTAGGCAGCGAAACGAGCATTGTCCTCTCCCTAAGCACGTGTGCAAGCATGCAGGGAATGCCTTTTTACAGGTAACATCGCTGCGAGGCTTACTCAGTCCAGTTGAGTCATCCTTACCAAGTATAGCCTCTTATACCGTATTTGGGGCTTACTACGAGAATCCATGCGTATTGAAGTCGAGATCACAGGTGCCGCTCGTGCACCTCATACACACTGTACTCGGTATCAGCATGAGGCTATGAATATACACACTACTATTCATGCAACGATAAGTATGACAAGACCGGTATGCATCGCAGGCCGCGACGCCTTACCCAAGGAATATTTGGGGGAGGCGGTGTCTCAGGCCGATGACAGGCACATGTGCGTTAGACTGCTGTGGTCACTGCCGCAAGTACAAACGTACATTTTGGGGGCCGCTTTGGAAGTCACTTGCATATTCAGAGAGACACTCCATTCGAGCAGGGGTAAATCAGCCGCCAAGCTCGTCTGCCTTGTGTGTTCCAAGCATCTCATGCCGGTGGTAATCCGTTGCACTGGATGCAACCCTACCCGTAAGCGCTGACCGTCCCATCCATAATTCGTACCCCCCCTCGCTGCCGATCCTGCATGAAGGAGGCTCATCAACGCTTTCAGTGAAGTGATATAATCCTTGGTTTACCAAGGGAGCTCACAACTTTTGCTTCGTGACTAATTGGAAGCCAACGTCGTTTGTAATTTCCTCCTCGAAATATTCTTTGCTTGCAAGAGCTTTCCAACTTGACTTTCTGGCCATCATGGCACGAGAAGCAGATGTCGGCTTCAACGGCTACTCCTCTGAAATGTCTACAGGTTCCAAATTGAACCTGGATTCAGAGCATGGCCCAGTCACCTCCCATCCCGATTCGCTGCGCAGCGGTGAAGTCTCCGTGGAGTATATCCAAGGCCCTCGGTTTAGGTTCATCTGTGCAGCGTGAGTAGTGTTGAGCCGGTAGGAAAGCGACAGCACAGCTGACATGTTTTGTGTAAATAGCATCGCTATTATGATGTTCATCACCAACATGGAGATTCCCGTCCTGATTACTGCATTGATCGCAATCACCAGCGACCTCGGGGGCTTTGACGACGTAAGCTGGGTGGTTTCCAGCTACCTGCTAGGCTATGTCGGTACGTTGAATCAGTTTCCAGTCCGCCATGTCGATTACTCACACGCCCGAGGAGACAGCCGTCATCATAATCTTTGCCAAGTTCAGCGACATTTTCGGCCGAAAGCCCATCTTCTTGCTGTCCACCGCCACATTCATCATCTTTTCCGCCGCCTGTAGTGCCGCGCAGACACTGACGCAGCTGTAAGGACTCGACCTGCTACAGAATGGTATAGGGGTCGAGATTCCACTGGACTGACATGTGGCAGCATTGTGTTCCGAGCCTTCCAGGGCATCGGCGGCGGAGGCTGTTTTTCTCTGTGCACAATCATGGTCTTTGACCTCGTTCCGCCAGAGAAGTATGCGCAAGTTGTAGCCAACATTTCTATAACCAATGCTGTAGCTCTTTTGGTAGGGCCCATTATTGGCGGGGCCATAGCCGCTAATACGACGTGGAGATGGATCTTTATCATCAAGTTTGTCAAAACTTTGCCGAAGACACCCCATGTTTGATGTTAAGGGCCGGGCTAACACATGCCATGACAGCGTTCCGATAGCCGTTCCGGCACTTGTTATATCTGTCTTGGCTATACCTAGTGGGTTCCCACACCACGGTCAAGTTAGACGCCAAACAGCCGAAAAAACGCTGCGTCACAGCGCCAAGAAGACACTTGGACGTATAGATATTCCTGGAACTGTCCTCGTTCTCTTGGCCGTACTAGGGCTAACAGCCGCCTTTGAGGAGGCCGACAAGCTCTTTCCATGGAAATCCGCATACGTCATCGCCTTGTTAATTGTATCCGGACTTCTTTGGATTGTGCTTATTTGGTGGGAGAGATATCTTTCGCTTTCCAACAGCACGCGAGAGCCAGTGTTGCCTTGGAGGTTGCTGACGAACCGCCGGATGGTGGGTATATTTCTGTAAGCCTCCTTCAACTCATCATCTTTTTCGCCAGCACAACTCTGACAGATATATCGAAGCAATTTTTTGCTGTTGGGAGGACCTACAGTCATTGGAATGTTCATCATCCCGCAGAGATTTCAGCTGGTGTATGGCACGTCTGGACTCGATGCAGGTGTCCGATTGATTCCGTTCACCGCAGCCATTCCGGTTAGCTCGATCTTTGCATCCAGCCTGGTGGGAAAGTACAAGGTGCCGCCTTTGTATCTCATCTTGTCAGGTTCTTGCCTCCAGGTACTTGGGTTTGGTCTGCTGGGAACACTGCCTGCGATGCTAGAAATACCAGCACGAATCTATGGCTATGAGCTCATTGCCGGATGGGGCTGTGGTATAAACTTCTCCTTGCTCTTCTTGATGGTTCCGTTTGTGATTGAGAAACGCGATCACGGTGAGCTTTGCCCTTGGTCCTCTGTATCTCGGGATGAGGGACAGGGATATGATGCTAATCGTTTCCCCTTAGCAATTGGCCTTGGGGCTGCATCGCAATTCAGATTTATCGGTAGCTCAATGGTTCTGGCCATCTCAACCTCCGTCTTCAACAGCTTCGCGAGACCACGGCTCCAGGAATTGGGCGCCGCTGGTGCTGATTCGCTAGTCGCTGTTCTTGCCACTCTGCCGACAGTGGTTCAGGAGCAGATCCGATACACTCTGGCAGAGGGTTACAGTCGTCAGACTCTTGCTCTTTGTGTCTCGGCAGCGCTGCAAGTCCCCGCTTCCCTGCTCATGTGGACAAAGAAGCCGCTGGTAGTGTAGGACTTCTTTTGTCAACGCCCCATCGCCGCACGCTCGACTCATTTTTTTGTCAAGCGAGATGTTAGATTGAACACGGCCTGTGGGGGGCGGCACTGCATGCCTTGGAAAAACCTGGAAACTGACTGCGTCATGATTTCGCTTTTCCTGTATCGGGGTTTTGAGTGTAAATTCGCTTCATGACCAAATTGGAGACTCCAGGGCCGAATTTCTGGTTTTCGTGATGGAGGTCTGGTACCTTGAAAACTATGCGGTTTTCTAGCATGATGTAATCATATTTGCTCTGCACGCAAAGCGCTACGTGACTGGTGTGACGTCTTGGCTCAACTGACGATAATTGTCGAGTCGCGTTCTTCATACCGGAATACGTTTGTGGAGATGCGACATACTGTACACTGCGCGAGAGCTTACGTGACCGTTTTGTGCTGAAAGTGGGTAGCATGTAGCTATTATTAATTGCCGAGGTTTATGCCGAAGAGAAATACAAAAGCACGAAGCTCGAGTGCGGCCAGCGATGATGAGGAGGACCTATCATAAAGCAAGGCATCACCCTCCATGTTTGCGAAAGGGGGCTATGGAGGTAGGTACTTGCGTATGTATCACATCCAAGTTGGTGGGCCAACATGTTTGGATGCTTGAAACGGGGAGTTGAGAGTTGATTCATCAATGTGGCAGTTTTTTTTTTTTTTTGGCAGAAGAAGAGGGCACGGCACGGTGCTGGAATGAGACGGTATGTCAATGGTGGGGCGGACGAACTGGCACCCAACTGGCACGGGCCGGCGACCTGTCCCTGTCAGACTAGTCCATATGGGACTAGTCCATATGGGGTTAAGGTTAATGCGGATCTTGGCCCCTGCCAGGCACCTGCCATCTCACCCCGGTCCAGATGTATTTCAGTACAGACTGGGCGACATGGGGCTGCACCAAGTCATATTGATTGAACACGGTGCAGCCAGACAACACAACCAACACGTCGCAACACAAGTTCGACAGCTTTTGGGGCTCTGCAGTAATTCTGCAGCTCCGGAACCCCCCCGCGTCGTTTCATTTCTTTCCTCTCTTCCCTTCCCGCCCAACTCCCAAATCTCCTTACCATGCATTTACCACTTGGTCAACGGGCGCCTTTTGTTTTTGCCTCGGATCAATTTTCTCCAACTGCGAACCGCATGCACTGAGCAACAGTCCATCGATTCCCATCAGCTTCTGTCAAGACCTAACGTTGTTACTGTTCACCAAGCATAAGCTCCTGATCCCGGCAGGCTGCAAGCTACTGAATCCACCACCATCGACTCTACCACTTGAGGAGTACACCGCAACTATGCCCTCAACAAATGCCTTTCAGGTCCAGGGGAGGGTGAGGAATCGGCTGCTGTCCTGGCATCAATCACGGTTCGCTGATTTCATTAGACCGCCATAATCACTGGCGGTTCGAGTGGTTTGGGACTGGCCGTCGCACGCCAGCTCGCTGCAAAGGGTGCCAACGTTGTTATTGTTGCGCGCGACCAAGCCAGGCTTCTTCAAGGCCTCGATACTGTCAAGGTAAACCTTCCTCTTGTCCCCTGCGCGTTTATGGTTGATGGGATGTGAGGCTGACTCAACAGCACAACAGAAAGAAGCTTCAAACCCCGAAACTCAGCTTTTCCATCAAATCAGTGCCGACCTCACCATCCCCTCTGAAGCTGTCCGCGTTGTGGACGAGGTGGTGTCGTGGAACTCTGGCAATCCACCCGACATTGTGAGCAAGTTCTGCACCTTCCCCCCTCCCCAGTCAGAGCATTTTGCTTGACTTGATGCACTTTGTGCCTGGACGGATAGGTTTTCCTCTCGATCTGGCAAATGCTAATTCTTAGAATTGCAGGTGTGGTGCTGCGCCGGTACTTCGCACCCGACCCTGTTCGTCGACACTCCAGTGACCGAGTTCTCCACGCAGATGCAAAACAACTACTTTACCAGCCTATACATGTCACACGCCATCCTGCAATGCTGGCTGAAGTCATCGCGCAAGAGCTTGACCTCGAACCTGCCTGGCTCTTCCGATAAATCCGAGTCTCGACCAAACTCTACCCTCCAACGCCACATCATCTTCACCGCATCCTTCCTGGCTTTCTATGGCATTGCTGGCTATTCCCCTTATAGTCCCACCAAGGCCGCGCTACGGTCTCTTGCAGACTCCCTTTCCCAAGAGATGAACTTGTACAGTGCCGCCTTTCCAAACGAGCCGAGGGTCCGCCTACACACAATCTTCCCTGCGGGTATCCTTACAGAAGGTTTCGAAGCTGAAAATCGCATCAAATCCGATTTGACCAAAATGCTCGAAGAAGGAGACGAGCCACAAACGCCCGAAGTTATTGCATCGAGGAGTATCAAGGGATTAGAGAGTGGACAGGAGCTCATCACAACCGACTTTCAGACGGGGTTGGTCAAACGAAGCATGCTGGGAGGTAGTATCAGAGGTGGATTTGTTAGGGGAATCGGAGACTGGATTCTCACAGGACTGGTTTTTATCATCATGACAGTCGTCCGCGGGGATATGGACAACAAGGTGCGCAAATGGGGCCGACAATTTGGCAGCACGGGCATGAAGGAAGACAAGGGTCCAGCTTAGGACTGGCTCAACCATTTGGCCGATTTCCCCTTTGTTTGTGTTACTCGTTCCGTCAAAGATTGAATGACGCTCTAGTCCCATAATAATCACCCGTATTACCGATATAACGACGTTTGCTATCATCACCCGAGCCAATTTCCCTGTGCCTTTCTGCGTGTCGTCAAATGCACTTGAACGAGACGTGGATCCTACCATACAAAGCCCTACAAAGTTTCCCTGAGATATTCATCACCGCTTCAACACGGTTTTGACGAGGCAGTCTGTTCAAGGCAACTAAACACTGCAGCCTTGTATGTTGCAAAGAATCCTTGACACTACTAGAATGCCTAGGCAGGTGGTCAGCCACCATGCTCATGCTGTGGAACAAATCTTACAGGTTGCCTTAAGACTGGCACTTTTGTACTACAACACGAGGCCAGTCGCTGCTGCCCAAGGTACTGGGATGTTATATGCATGTAAGCATCAGCATCTCCACGCCTACTACCCCGTACCCGCACGATACGAGCATGCTCAGATGGTCAGCATTGGCAGCAAAACAAATACCTCAGTTCATATTGATGTCGTTTTTCGCGATACTTTTGCACTGTCAGACTTGTCAGATTGGTCAGACGGCAGGCAAAATATTTTGGGTAGGATGTGCAGATGGTGGCGCTTCAGGGGTTTAAGGCTCTGGTAGGTTGGGACGCTCTGCCTGGCCCCCAAGTCTCTGATACCGGACTGTCGAAATGGGTTTTGATCATAGGACGATCGTCGCGTGGTAGGCGCCGTCGTACAGTAGGGCCCGCCACGCGCACGGAATACTCTGTACTACGACTGCGGTCGCAGTCCATGTCAGATCTCCGCTGTGAAACCACGGGGCCCCATGCTGGTGATGCAAGGGGGAGGAGGTTATTCAGTGGGGGCTAGATCCGCCTGCCAACAAGACCTGGGCGTCCGAGGCCATCATCAGGTTATTGTTCTCACTGCACGTGGGAGGATGAGCAGGCTGTTGAACCAGGCTGCTGATTCCTCTGCAAACAAGTGTTTCTTGCGCGTCTCGTTGATGTTGCTATTTGTGGCTGTTCCAGGCACCATCCGGCAATCCTGAGCCTAGGGGCTTCCAATGCGATTCTATGGTGGAGATGTGTATTCGCTGTGGTTTGGCCAGTATACACGTATTTGGAAGAGATAAGAAGTCTGTTTCCACGGAAAACATGTCTGCCCTTTTACGTGGTTTATTTTGCCATGACTCTATACCATCTCCCCGTGTTCAGCTATTCCCTGAGTCTTTTACTTGATAAGAACGAGTTACCATGTATCCGGAAGCAACACTCCTAAGAATCGCCGTGTACGCCACTGGCCTCGGTGTCGTATATGTATGTATACATCATGACATCTCTTACCATGGCGTAAATCTTTTGACATTGAAACAAGGTTGTGTCCCTCGCTCTCTACCGGCTTCTACTCCATCCGTTGAGTAAATATCCTGGCCCATTCACAGCCAAGCTCTCCGATTTATACGGCGCCTTCTATGCCTTCCATGCGGTTCTTCACGAGAGAACGCTAGACGACCACGCCAGATATGGTAGGCCCTTTTCATGCCCGAAAGACAAAGCAGCACTTTGTACTAATGGCTATGAACTCTAGGCCCGGTAGTGAGGCATGGACCTAACAAATTGGTCTTTAGCTCGGTCAAGGCTTTGCGAGGTAAGATCACGCCAACACATTGAACCCGGGACATGTAATTTCTGAATACCAACGTCTCAGATATCTACCAAAACAACAACGTCACCAAATCCAGGGCGTACCTGATATCCCAGCGAGCACCCGGCGTCTACGGCCTCTTCAACGCCATCGACCAATCCCTGCACCAGAAAAAGCGCAAACTCGTCGGGAGGGCTCTGGCCCCGAAATCCCTTCAGGCATTCGAGCCCGTCCTCATTCAGCAGATCGACATCTTCATACAACAACTACAAAGGCACTGCGGCCCAGACGGCCGCCCAGTCAACATGACCAGCCAGACCAAGTATCTGTTCGTCGATGTCATGGGCCACCTCCTGTTCAAATACCCCCTCAACCTGCAAACCGAACCGACGCACCGGGTCCTGTCATACTCCCGGGCCAACTTCTTCTTCAACATCGGCATGCAGCTCCCGTCCCTGGTGGCCCTGCGCCTATGGGCCCTACAGTCGCTCTGGTCCGTCATCAGCAGGAAGCGCTACCTCCGGACGCTGCAGAAGATCATCCTCGCCCGTCTCGCGCAGGGCCCGCACGTCAAGCAGGAACTTCTTTACATGTCTGCCAAATCGGCCATTCCCCACGACGACAAGGAGTGGGTGTGTGACGTGCAGACCGAAGCGGTTTGGCACATGCTCGCCGGTCAGTGTTTTGCCATTTATTCGAGAGATGTTCTGTTCTGACGCGCATACAGGCAGCGACACGACGTCGACTACGCTCAGCGCTTTATTCTTCTACCTGGCCCGCAACCCGCGGTGCTACGGGCGACTCCGGCGCGAGATTCGCTCCGCGTTCGCTGAAGACGGGGATATCCGGAGCGGCGCGGCGCTCGCGAGCTGCGTCTACTTACGCGCGTGCCTGGACGAGACGCTCCGCATGTCGCCGGCGATTCCGGGCACGCTCTGGCGGGAAGAGGTGTCTGGGCCCGAGGCCGAGGCGAGGAAGCTCGTTGTGGACGGCCATGTGATTCCGCGGGGGGTGCATGTCGGTGTCAACACGTACTCTTTGCTTCATAACGAAGAGTACTTTCCGGAGCCGTTTGTTTTTAGGCCTGAGCGCTGGCTGGACGCGGCGTCTGGGCAGGCGGATAGGGAGGCGTTTGCGCCGTTTTCGCTGGGCGCGCGCGGGTGCCTGGGTAAGGGTGTCGCTTACTTGGGGACCAGTCTTGTTGTGGCCAAGACGTTGTGGCACTTTGATTTCGAGGAGTCGCTGGGATGTGAAGTGCAGCAGGGTCGGAATGGGGACGAGTTTCATATTCGTGACATGTTTTCTGCTGTGCATGACGGGCCTTATTTGACGTTTCGTGAGGTTGGTCGTGGAGGGGAGTGACTTGGTCTTGTCGGGCTGAGGAGATGAGGCTTGTGTATGTGGTCGGTAGGGCTCTAGATATTCAGATGATGGGGAACGCTTTGTACGTATTTAGATGACGACTCAATATTGATATTTCACTGTAATATGGAGCGTTTTCTATTCCGTGCATGATCCTTCAAATTCTCGTTTGGATGAGTGCTTCCTTCTCAAGTGAGAAGCGAACCTGATCCCGATCCCTACCCTATAGCATTATGTCAGTTTGACATGAGACGTGTTCCAGACGAGGAATATGGGCTCGAGGAATATGCCATAGATTGGCGACATGAATGTGTGAATTGCATTCTGTCCCAATTTACTCCAAGAGTATCTCAACTGGTGAACCGAGAAGCCACCACCGGGCACCAATTTGTTCGACGTCGTCTTCAGTCAGCCTAAGACCCTGCAGACATGGAAGTGGCATGTCAACGAGGCCTATCGATACATATGTAAGTCTTCCCTGCAATAGCATCCTGAAGGAACCATCACACGCGCGATGCAACTCTCACCCTCTCGAGCCAAACCACCTCTACCCATCTATTTTCGAAATCACCCCTCCGCCGATCTCTTACATCAACTCTCTGAATCTGCCTCGAAAGCAGGAGCTGAACCTCCCGCCCGTAGCATCGACTCCGGGCGGATACATCCAGAAAAGAAACAACATGGACAGTGGGGGCTGTCAGCACAGGAATGTACACTTATAGGCTCCCATCCGCAAGAGTGCTTTCGACGTTTGTTTCAGCGAGACTCAGGTGCTGGCAGGCAGTCAGCGTAGCATTCATGTATACCAAGACCAGGGCGATGGATCGACGCTTCAACCTATTGCCTTTTATTCGTTGGAAACCACGCTCCCCAGACCTGGATAAGCTTCTTGGCGAGCGGTCAGCAACTAGCCATATGCGGTAGCCTGCAGAGTTGTGGGTTCGGTGAGGATTGCAATTTGCGCCCGTATACAAAGCTCCCAGATTGGCGGGCAGGAGAGCAGGCTGCGCATAGAGTGTGGTAGAGGTAACACCAGACGAAACAGGTCTTTTGAGTGATTTGCTGTTCTAGTCGTGTCTATTTGAGGGTGAACTAAATTCTGACAAGGGAGAGAAAATTGCTATAGATGTTGCTGATCGCGATTTGAAGGTGTGGCGTTTTGCAGCTACTTTTGGATGCGTCTCCCGGCGGCAGGGATGTACTCCGTACCTTGACTTGAGCCTTGATTAGATTGTACGAGGTTCTGGAAGGCACACCATATAATTGATGTTCTTTTCTGTCGCCAGGTCTCAGTGAGTAGTTTTTGGGGGCGCAGCGATTCCCCTGGTTGGTGTCATCTGTAATGGGGGGAAGTGGCGCTTGTAAGACCAGCTATAGATGAGACTCGGAGCCAGCAGTTGACTAGCTGCAGTAGACTATTCCTCTGATGAGTTTATGGATGATATGTCCTCGTTAAGCCCACGAGTTGCTTCACAACACACAGTCCCCAAGATATCCGCCTACAATGGATGAGGTTGTAAATCTAAGCGTGGGAGCCGTCATGGCCGTGCTAGCAATCGTGGCCGTCGTGGCGCGCTTTTACGCGCGCCATTCCAGGAAAGCCAAGTTGCAATGGGACGACTGGCTCATCGTGGTGTCGCTGGTTGCCATGATTGCGACGGACATTCTGGCTATATGCGGTTTGGAAAACCCTCCCCTTGTCCTCCAAACCATCCATCAACACAACTCCTGAGCAACATGAAGATTAACACTTCTCCCAGCCATCACCGGCAATCCTACGGGCCCTGAAACGGCCACCGTCGTGACTGATACGCACGAGTACGCCCCCGAGGACGTCTTGTACACCAAGCTGAGCTGGGCTACAACGGTCATATATTTTGCCATAACGTCGACCACAAAGCTCTCCATCCTGCTCATGTATAATCGGCTCTTCTCAGTGGACGAGCGGTTCCGCCGAATCGTCATGATACTCTCTGTGCTCGTGGTAGGCTTCTGGGTAGGATGCACAGTCGCCGACTTGACCAACTGCGTTCCCATGGAATACGTATGGATCAACAGCCTGTCCGACCCGCGGTACTGCTTCAACTTCAACATCTACTGGTTCGCCAGCGGCGTCTGCGAGGCCCTGATTGATACTCTGATCTTGCTGTTGCCCATCAAGGTCGTTCTCGGACTGCAGCTCGGCCTGAAGCAAAAGGTTGCTGTGGGGTCAGTGTTCCTCCTAGGTGCATTGTGAGTAAACGTGCTTTGACTTCTGTATAACCCCCCAACCAAGGCTAAACATGAGTGAAAAGCGTCATCGTATCCGGCTTGCTCAAGACTAGCTTCGGATATATCCCAGGAAGCCGCCAGCCTTCTTTTTCCAGGACGCAGCTGTGGACATCGGTGCACTGTGGCACGGGCATCATCTGCGCCTGTCTTCCCATTTGCTGGCCGCTATTCGGGCGCCTGTGGAAATTGCACCTACCGTCATGGCCGGGTGCTTTGCAGATCCGGGAGTATTGGTACAGGCTCAGGGGCGAGCACTCGGCAGAGAAGTCGAGGAAGCCTTCGGGGGCGAGTGATGGGGAGTTCCAGCTGTCCAACAACTTTACCAGCCGGGGGTTTACGGTGTCGTTTGGTGGCATTCACGAGGAGCAAGTATACCGTGAAGACTACTCGACAGTGTCTCACGTTCCACATCGCAAACACTCTGTGTCTGCCGTGTGAGGTGGCGATGCTGCATTGATGGTAGGAGAGTGTCGTAGTGTGAGGATTTTGGCAGGGACCTTTGCACGCACAATATAAAGTTCGTCATCGCTGAATAGATTTGATTACTTTTGAAAGACTCAATGTCTTGTAGATGCCATCACTCTCAAGGTGGATGGGAGGAGTGCCGGGAATGGAGATGGACTTGTCGCTTGGATTGGGTGCTGGACTCGCCCTCATGGCACCAAGAGAAGACTCAGAAGACAATCAACGTCAGTTCTTACTTCTCCGCAAGATGACTCAAGTGCTAGGTAATACCTACCTAGGTGGGTAGATGTGTTGGTAGCAAAAGTACGGAGTAGCTGATGCAGATTTGTCTGAGGCGTTTGAAGTTGGGGGTGGCTGAGCTGCTGATGGAGGAGTTTTTTTCTTCTTCTTTTTTTTGTTGGACGTGATGGTTACATTTGAGAACCGAGACAAAAAAAAAAGGCACGCTGACGCACAACACACAGGGCTGGTGAGAAATGACGAAGCTGCCTGGCCGCCGGAAATCATCCACTGAGCTTGTGCATCTTGACCCCCAGGCCTGTGGTCTGGTCCAATTAGCAGCACTTGAGGCGTCTGGCCTGTTCAGCAAGTGCACCCGCCGACTCCTCAATTAATGTCTAGGTACGGAGTACTCCGTGCTTGGGTACCTGGCAATTTCCCAATTCCCATTCGATTGCCATGCCTCGAGGCTGGTGGCACTCTGCACCTAGAGCTCGGTGCCTTGCGACACGTCAAGCAATCATGCATCCGCGCAATTTAACCATGTTTGATGCCCCGTCCTTGCATGTAGAATGGAGGGTGACTTGCTGATGCTTTCAGGCTCCAATATGCGGGTGGTTGTCTGTTGAGGCAGTACCATGTCGCACGGGCCTGATTCGTTCTTTCCCTGCCTTGTGTATTCCGGTACCTGAGAACTCCTCTCGTAGCAAAGAGACATTGACAATATTTCCATGTCGGCGCCCTCCCCGAGGAAATAAAATCTTGGCCATCTTCTCTCCGAGAGCTCTCACAACAACATCTTCTCACCATTGCCTTCCATCATGCACAATCCAGCCGCAGCGTGGGCCCGGATGGCCTTGCTGGGATTGCTTCCCGCCTTGGCATTCGCGCTACACAGATTCAATGCGCTTGAGGCCATCACGAGTTTCTACACAGGCCCAGGCAGCTACAGCCGCATCCTGGCCACTGTGCTCTTGGCCCTGAACTGGAAGAGCCTGCCTTTGGCCTGGAATGTATGGATATAGATGTGCACACAAATCTGCCAAGCAAGGGCAAAAAACTGACATTTCTCCCCCCACGCAGGTCCGGATATGGCATGCCATGATCTTGCACTTGTTCGTTCGCGAATTCCATGCCCACACGCCCGACAAGCTCTTCCACCCCATCATCAGCGAGTCGCACGCATCCATAGGCGAGATTGACTACCGTCTGCACAAGTCAAACTCGACCTACCTCGCCGACCTCGACATCAGTCGCTCGCATCTCGTCTCGCATCTCGTCGCCCGCGCCGGCCATCTGGCCGCGAGCAATGCCAAGACGCGCCTGGTCATGGACCCGTCCAATCCGTCCAAGCCCGCCCGAGGCTCCTTCAATATCGGCATAGGCGGCGTCCACTGTTCGTTCAAGAGGGAGATCAAGCCCTTCCAAAAGTACGAGATGTGGTCCCGCATCTTGTCCTGGGACCGAAAGTGGCTATATATAGCCACCCACTTTGTCGAGAAGGGAGCCGTGCTGCCGCGGTCCTGGGACGCACACAATTGCGGCCGGACGAGATCCAGCCCCGGAAAACCCCAGGACTGGGAAAAGAAGATTTTCGCCACCGCCGTCACCTCGTACGTGTTTAAGCTTGGCCGGCTGACTATCCACCCGGCTATTATGCTCGGGGCGAGCGGCCTTTTGCCGGAGCGTCCAGGGGGGTGGACTTTGGCCGACAATGGCGAAAGCCCTACGTCGGGGGATATCGTCGGTGCCGACGAACTCGGTGACGTCCAGACGCCCGAGTGGACGTGGGAACGGACCGAGAAGGAACGCAGGAGAGGCTTGGAGTATGCGCGACACTTTGCTGCCATGGATGATCTGCACGGCTGGTTTGACGGTGGTGAAGACGGGGCGCTGGGTCGTTTCTTTTTGGGCTAGCTTCTGAAACGTTCCATCAGCCATACAACTATCTGGTTGCTGCTACATCTCATCTTGGAAAGATTGAGTTGCTTGGATTGGTTTTGGAGGATAATGTAGGGAGTCGAGTTGACAGAGGTCGTGTGTTAGCGACTTAACACACACACAGAGTACTTATTTTAGTGTAGTTTTGTAGTTTTTAGTAAATTTTAGGGTGGTATTATTTAGTATAATAAGTTATAACTATATTATAATATATTAAATATGTTAGTATAATTAATATTATATTATAGTTTATTAGTTTCGCCGGCGCGTAAAGTTATAAATTACCTTTTAAGCTAGTAGGTTTAATATATTATAATACGTATATATAGTATTTTCTTATATTATATATTACTATTAATTAAGCCAGGTATAACTCCTGATTATACTACTAGTAGGTCCCGGCAACTAGCTAGCCTTTTTTTATTTTTTTTATTAATAATTTCATAGTTTACTTGTCGAGGTTATTTTATAATAGCTTTAGTTATTATTATTATAAAAGTAAATTAACTTTATACTTGAATTTATAGTAAATTATAGTAAAAACCTAAAATACTTATATATATAATCTATTTATAAAGTTTTACTTATATTTTAATTTTTTTTTTAAATTATTAACTTTTTTTACTATTAAAGCCTTACTATAAATAACTAATTATAAGTTCTAACTTTTATATATATATCTCCTATAAGTATTATAACCGCTTATTTACTAATATTACCTACAGCTATTTATAAACTATTATATATAAGATTAGACCAATAACAATATAGGCAAAAGTGCCAAGATGCCCAATACAAGTGAGTTGGCTATTGCAACCTTCAGGGGTCGAAGTAAGATAATTTTATAATAAATTAAGTAGAAAAGAAAAACCCCACTTAATTGCCAATAAGTAGCCAGCTTGAGAAAGCCCCTCTTTTACCCACCGGGCTAGTGGGAATTAGAAGCATCGGGTCGGTGGCCTTACTGCTCGCCCTCCTTAAGACCAGGAGTCGTTGATAATACAATTCCGCGACGCGACGTTGCATCAAGCAACGGCGTAGTTAGCCCTATTTTGAAGCCGTGATAGCAACTGGCAGTAGTGTGTTCCTCACATCAACCTCGAGGCTCGCGATGTTATGGGCCAGCTTCAAAAAGCCCTTAGTGCCCCTCTTGCCCACCGGGTCGGTGGCCCTAGTGCTCGCCACCTAGCGTTGGATCTCTTTGACTGTAATTTGGCTTGTGGAGACACTTTGCCGGGGGTTCAGACCAATCGGACGTTGACGGATAAATAGTATATTTATTTACCATAAAATTAGTAAATAAGGGAAGTGCTATCCGGTTAGGTATAAATTACTACATAAACTAATTATCTGTCTGCCTGACCAATATTACATACTCAAACGGTCACTTGTACATATGTAGCCTATAAGGGGGTGGGGGCCCCACGAGCCAAATTGCAGCCAAAGAGATAATATCACTGGTCCTAATACATGGATGCGGCCTGCTGCAGTAACTATAATTAAATTAACTACTTTTTGGCGATCAAGGGCGCAACTATGAGGCCATAACTCGCTTAGGAGCTCGCCAGGCGCCAATCGGAATATACCGTCATGTGGTGGTGTAGCAAAGCATAATATCTCTAGCTGGGTGCTGGGCGATACGGAGCGGTTAGCGAGCCGGGGCCGTCTTGCCCGAGTCATTCAACTGGCCCCGACAACAAGGACATGCCACGTTCCAGCTACTTTAATTCTTCATGCAAAATTATAAATCCGCTCCCCAAGTACCCCCCTGGAATAGCATCGTATGACGCTGAATGACTCGCAAGACCGAGACTAGATACATAGTTGACAACCCATATTAGCCAGGCAATCCAGGTCAAGTAGCCTGCGGAACTTGTTCTTTTTATATAGACCTAGATACTTTGGAGATAAATTTTCAAGGTTACTATTTACATCCTCATATTTCTAGTATCCTTACTACTAGCATTATCCATGGCTGTTTATTTATTGACTAGGTGTGATTGAACTTGCTACTGGTAAGGACAAACAAACGCCGATTGATACAGCTAGAGATGTATTCGTCTAGAATAGAAGGACTAACTTTCCCCCTAGAATGCATCTTTAATTCGGTTTTCAATAATAGCACACCGCGCCGCTAGCCTACTGCCCGTCCAGTTCTGCCCATGATGGCGGCTTCTCTACAGTCGGCCAAGTACAGCCAGAGCAGCCGGTTCATGGTTATGATAAGTGCCCGAAGATGGACCAAACTTGGCATGTGCATCGCGGCCATGATAATACTTTTAACCTTTTGTCTTTCTTCTCGCAAGCTATATCGCAATTCTCCATGGCTTAAAGCTGTTTCTTCACATCGGCATTCTCTACAAAGCTATTCCTCACCAGGCCATTTTTTACAAATGTATGGTAATAGCAGTTTTATGGATTCTATTACAGCCTCGACAAATCTGTCTCAAAAGGCCATGTTAATGCGGCAGCAATGCAAAGACTCACTATTGGACACTCGAATTGCGACGGCAACAGCTCACTTTTCTGATGCTAATAATCCCGAGACATTCTATCAACAAAGCATTAGGTCACATCTACTACATAATATTATTCACGGCACACAGTTACATGTTTTATCTACGGCAATTATTGACTACATGTGGAATAAGCAAGCGTTTATTCAGTTACTAATACTAAACGAGCTGGTGAAGTCACCCCAGGAGCGCCTCGAATGGATATTTTGGGCCGATCGCGATACTGTTATACTCGATTACTGTCGCAGTCCTGCATCCTTTATTGCCGAAGAAATACGAAGCAATAATGAAACCACAGATACTACGCAAGGTCCAGACATCAACTTGCTTATAACAAATGACCACAACGGCCTTATGGCAGGCGTCTTTATTATACGCGTATGCGAATGGAGCGTCAAGTTTCTAAGCGACGTACTTGCATTCCGAACTTTTAGGCCTGGTGTTGATCTTCCATACCACGAGCAGACTGCGATGGAGATCCTCCTTAAAGAGGATAAATATAAAGAGAATGTGGCATATATTCCACAGCATTGGATCAACAATTACAGAGGGGATACTGCTGAGGACTTTGTAAATCGCTCAGACGCAAGTGATATGGCGTATTGGGTAGCTCGACGCGGCGACTTTGCGTTGCACTTTGCAGGATCTGGTAATAAGAGTGGAAATATTATGGAATACGCTGGTGTAGGAGAGGAGGTATTTGATGCTATACATGGAGGTAGTATCTTGCGTAATATAAGCATGGATATTGAGGAATTTTGGGGAACGTATAAAAAGACTTGAAGATCTAGATATTGTATTATCTGTGCGAAAACAATTAGTACGCACGAGTACATACATATAAATTTCCCCCTTCCTTGTTTGGGCAATAGTGAGCCCCGCCCTTGTGCTATTTTCGGGCCTTGAACCTCGGATTCCACCTTAGTGCTAACACACAATATATCACCCGTGGACTGTAATACACCCCCACTCAAAATCCCCGTTTATTAAGGCTATCGCGCTATCTATCCAGACCTTCTTGCCATGTGCATTAACAAACAACTCGAGGTATAAATCTTCGAGTTCTAGCTAGTCCTTCTCCTCAAGATCCGCCCAGCGCTTTTTATGGGTATACGTCTTATCTTTAGTCTGTCCTTAAAAATAGTCTCGGAGGCTCTAACTTAAATTCAGGAGATATAATATTAAGAATTATTAGCCTAAAGGCTGACTTAGATGTAATAGTAGCTTAGATTCTAAGGCATAGTAGGTTTATTTCTTAGGAAGTAAATCAGGTTAAATACTATAAAATAGCTTTTAAGTAATATTATAATAAAGCTATTAAAAATATAACTCTTAATAATAAAATTATTACTTAAATTAATTAATAAAAATTTAGATTATTTAGCTATAAAAATACCTTTTTTTTAAGTATTTATTTATTTTTTTATTATATTTTTAAATTAAATAAATCTTATTTAATTTTTTATATTAAATCAGATTAATTCCTTTTAATTTATTAAGTTAAATTAAATTAATTTTATTTAATTTTATTATATAACCTATAATTTTATTAGGCTTTATTCTTATTTATTTTTTATAGCTTATAATACTAATTATTTACTTTAAGTACTCTTAGTTTATAATATAATATTCTTTTTTTATTAGTTTTATTTTTAAGGCTATTTTATATTATTTAATAAGTACTTTTTTTTT